AACCACTGAGCTAAATCCCCGGCCCCATGGATATTTAGTTTTTTAAGAGACTACCAAACTATTTCAGAGTGCTATACCATTTTACATTCCTGCCAACAATAAATAAGTGATCTGGTTTCTCTGCCTTTTCACCAAGATTTTGTGTTGTCACTATTTGCATTTTAGCCACTCTGAAAGTATAGATGGATTTTTTAAAACAGTGTATTACTTTTATTTGGGGGCCTGGAGTGGAGGAAAGGCATCATGGTGAGGGAAGAAATAAAGTACTGCAAATGCAGGAACATTATTAAAACAGTAATACATGAAATGAGTAACCGGAACCATTTTCTTAGGAGGACTTGACTCATGGAAGAAAAACTTTAAAATTGTTGTTGCAGAAAACATTTTATGAACTAGAAATTGGTTTCAATAATACTACTAGAGAATATGTTCTAGTAAGTGTAGGTAACTGGATGTAAAATTCTGGCAGCAATTTAATAGAAGAATCCCAGATTATTAGGCCTAGGCCAACACCTAATGAGGATGAGAGCCTTGTTTGTGGGGAATTTTGGACAATACTTGCAGAAATATTATTACATTGTGCATAAACCAAATTGAATTATTTTCACAACTGTTGTAAAGTTTCAATGTAGGTTGATTTCACATTGAATGAAGTTTGAATTTGTGTTTTCTTAGGGACTAATGATACTGAACTTTTTTTTTTTTTTTTGGAGATAGTCTTCAAATGTAGCCTATTCTGGCTGTGAACTGAGATCCTCCTGCCTCAGCCTCCCAAGGGCTGGTATTACATGTGACTACTTGAAAATTTTTTTCTGTGTTTGCTTACTCTCAGATTGATTTTTATGTAGATCTTGTATCCTGTAACCTCATTAAACTTATTAGTTCTAGGAATTTTTTAGGTAGTTCTGTGGGATTTTCCATACAGCAAATCATATTGGTGTTAGACAGTTTTTTTTGTTTCTTTTTCAGTCTGGTTTCCTGATCTTTGTTTTCTTGTATTGGCTAAAATCTCATGTACGGTATTGAGTAGGACTTCCTTGCCTTGTTCTGCTCGTAGGCAGAAAGCATGCAGTCTTTCACCATTATGATATTAGCTGTTCAGTTTTTGTGGGTGGCTTTTATCAGGTCATAGAATTTTCTGTTTACTTTGGTGTGCTGAGTTTTCATTGTAAATGGTATTGAATTTTGTTTAGTGCTTTTTTGCGTCTATTAAGATGATTATTTATTTTTCCTTTATTTTGTTGACATAGTGAATTACATTGATTGGTTTTCAAGTGCAGATCTACTCTTACATTCCCAGAATAATTCCCACCTGATCATGCTTTATCCTCTTTTTTCTTTTTTAAAAATGTAATTAATTAATTAATTAATTAATCTTCGGTACCAGGGATCGAACTTAGGACCTTGGGCTTGTCAGGCAGGTATGGCACCACTGAGCTATATTCCTGGCTCCTGTCCTCTTATTATTTTTTTTCCCATTAAGTTTATTGGTACATTTTAGGTATAAAACACAGTTACATTCATCATTGGGATCTTGTACCATTACATGAGTCTCTTGGTTCTTATCCCTATCCTCTTTTTTCATACTGTTGGATTTAATTGGTTAAAAGTTTTAAGAATTTTTGAATCTATATTCCTGAACGATATTGGTCTGTAGCTTAATTTTCTATGATTTAAACAATAAAAAAAAATAAGAATAATATTGGCCTCCTAGTTTAAGTTGGGAAATAGCTCCTTCTCTTCAAGTTTCTGTAAGATTTTGTATAAAATTGGTATTAACTTCTACCTTAAATGTTTGGTAAAATTCACCGGTAAAGCTGTGTGAGTGGGAAGGTTTTAAGTCATTGCAGTGTCTTTAATAAATATAAAGCTATTCAGGTTATCCGTTTTTTAAGAAATTTATATCAAAGTTGTTGAATTTATTGGTCTACAATTGTTCTTAGAGTCTTCCCTTATCCTTGTTAATTCTGTATGATCTGTGGTGATGCCCCAGTTGTCAATTTCTATATGTATTCCATTATGGTTAGAGAACAGGTTTTGTATGATTTGAATACTTTTATGAGGCAGGTGGCGGAACCACTGAGCTAAATCCCCGGTCAATGATTTGAATACTTTTAAATTGACAAGGTTTGTTTCATGACTGTAGTCTGTGTTTGTTTTGGTGGAATGTTCTGTAAATGTCAATTAGTGTAAGTTTGTAGGTACTGTTAAAGGGTCTGCATTCTTACAAATTTAGTTTACTTTTCTAATTGAGAGAGGGTTATTGAAATCTCTGTCTATAATTGTGTAATTTTTTCCTTTTCATTTCTATTAGATTTTTCTTTGGGTGTTGTACAGCTCTGTTGTTAGGTGCATAAATGTTCAGGATTATATCCTTTTGATGAATTGATGCCCTTCTCATAAAAAATGACTTTCTTTCTCCTTGGTAATATAGCTTTGCTTGGGAATGAACTTTGCCTGATATTAGTGTTGTCATTTCAGTTGCCTTGATTCACGTGGGCATGATACATATTGTTTCATCTTCTTTTGACTAATTTGTGCTTTTATATTCAAAGAGGATTTCTTGTCCATTTAAGTAGAGAAGGAATCATAGAAATAGAAAATACCATTAAGCAAATAATATAGTAAAATTTGTCAATAGGCAAATTCCAGTAATAAATACCAGAGTCATTATGTGAAAGTTTGAAGATTATCTATTTGGGTAGTCTCTAAGTAGCTTCCTTCTGATATTTGCTCATTTCAGAGGGCAAAATAGTAACTTTTTGTGGAGAATTCTGGCAAACACTACCATAAATAATAGATCAAGAGTAACATAAAAAGGGCCGGGGATTTAGCTCAGTGGTTTCACTGCCTGCTGCGCAAGTGCGAGGACCCGAGTTCGATCCCCAGTACCCCCCCCCCCAAAGAGTAACATAAAAAAAGAAAAAGAGTAACATCAACAGTAGCAGGACTTGATGGTACCTGGGGGAAGGGCACATCACCTCTGAGGTGTTTTTGCCAGAAATGCAACCCCTCAGTCTAATTGTGAGAGAACACCAAACAGCCCCAAATTGAGGGACATTGTGCAAAGAAACTGACCAGGACTTTGGAAGCTGTAAGTTCACAAATGACAAAGACCAAAAATCAGTCACAGACTGGCAGAGACTGAGGAGCCACGACCATTGAATATGATGTGGGGTCCTGGATTGAATCCTGCCATAGAGGAAGGGCATTAATGGACAGATAGCTGAACTCAGTAATATAATATGAATGCCAGTTTCCTAATTTAGGTAATCGTACCCTAAAAGATAATGAATCTGTTAGATTCTGTTAGAAGAATCCAGGTGAAGGGTTTATAGGAGCTCTATACTGTGCAACTTTTCTTACCTCTAGAATTATTTCAGAATAAAAGGTTTAAAATAAAACTGATAATGTGGTTTTTGGATAGACACCGTAGTGAAATGTTGCCTTTTTAATCCCAGCTGACAGCATGTGCCTTTTAATTATTAATATTTGATGAGATTGATTTAAATGGGTTTAAGTCTGTCCTCTTGGTGTTTTCTTTGTCTTACCTGGTCTTTGTTCACTCTTCCCTGTTTTTCTTTCTTCTTTTGAATTAATAGAGTATTTTTTACTTCATTTTATCTCTTGTATTATTGTATTTCTACACAGCACCGTCCCCTGCCCTCCTCCCCTGCAGTGCTGGAGATTGAACCCAGGGCCTTACACTTTCTGGGCATGTACACTACCATGAAGCCACACCCACAGCCCTTTCTTTAATTTTTAATTTTGAAACAGAGTTTTGGTAAGTTGCCCAGGCTGCCCTTGAACTTGCTATCATCCTGCCTTGGCTTCCTTCCTGAGTAGCTGGAATTATAGGCATATACCACTGTTGCGGGACAGTGTGGTGTCCAGTGCTTCCGGGCTTTTGCTGTCCCATTCAAAGAATTGGATGAGACAATTGATGAACTTGAAAATGCAGTGCTTATTAAAAGAAAAAGAGGGCTAGGGATTTAGCTCAGTGGTTTTGCCGCCTGCTGTGCAAGTGCAAGGACCCGAGTTCAATTCCCGGTACCAAAAATAAAAAAAAGAAAAGTGAAAAAAAAGGGAAGTCCAAAAAGAAGCAAGAAAAGTAAGATGACACCATTCATACAGGGTGGGTCACTGCAAGAACAAGAGGGCAGTAGTGCCCATGAAGTCAGTGACTGCCCCTTTTAGATCCTCATCTGACGTTAGACCCAGCTCTCCATGATTGACAAGTCATGCCTTGTTGTCCAGCCTCCTTGGCATACCCTAATATCCTACCTCACCACTGCACCTAGTTTATGGGGTTTTTTTTGAGACATGTTCTTGCTATGTAGTTAAAGCTGGCCTTAAACTCATTATCACGGGCTGGCCTTAAACTGGCAGCAGTCCTCCTGCGTTCAGCCTCCTGAGTGCTAGGATTACAGGGTTGTGGCACCATGTCCAGCCCAGTTATTGACTTTTCAGTGGTTGTGTTTAGAGTTTACTATTTACATTGTAACTCAGCCTTCCTTCAGCTGTGCTACCACCTCATGTGCCACTTATAGCCTGCTAATACTGGGCAGGGATGTCTGCCACAAATGAATGAATGAATTGGTGTTAAACAGATGAAGTTGTTCTCAGAATTTGTGGACTTTTGCCCAGAGGGCTGTCGAGCCTGACATTGTAGGAGAATTCTGAGAGTTTTCTGGTAATTTTTTAAAAAACCAAGTGTAGTATGCCTATAGGAATCTACATCTCATAAATATGTAATTTGCTGCCATTTTACATGGCAAAAGCCACAGAACCTCACCTGTCATTCATGAATTTTAAAAAATACAGTTCTTAACTGGGTTATGTAAAATTTGAACAGTTTGAGTGACAGGACTAGGTGATTTCCAGTTCTGAGAAATTTCTGACACTGAGATTGAAGCTGTACAGAAACCTTTGTGTGTACTTTTATTTATGTAAGCATAGATTACTTCTCTTGTGCTTAATAAGATATTTCCTCTTGACAGTGGACCCTCAAAAAATTGACCGGGAGGGAAAAATCCCAGATGACACTTTAGAGAAACTGAAGAGCCTGGGGCTTTTTGGGATGCAGATCCCAGAAGAATATGGTAAGTCAGGGGAACAGCTCCCAGCTTGTTGCCTCTCGTGTACATTTGTCCAGAAAAGGCTGCTGTTTGGGAAGGGTGGCCTTTTGGTGCGATATGTGTGCAGGGTAGGTGCAAAGCCAAGACAGGAAACTGTGGCTCTGGCCTTCACCTGCCTGGGACCGTCCCTGGAGCCTTTGCCGAGACGACTAAGGGTCTGGAGGCATAGGTGGTTGGTGGTGCACTGAGAATCAGGTGTATTCCTGGCTGTAGCTGGTTGTTTAGAGATGTACTGTTTGCAGCCTTTCTCAGCTGTTCTCTGACTTAAAGGTTGACAGTGAGCCACAGCAGCCAGGAGCTTGCCCTGCTCTCTGTCTTCCTGCCTGGTTCATCTCTGGAGACTGCGAGGCCTCCCTTCCCCTCAGTGGAGTGGGGTTGGGGAGCGGGGGAGATGGGGGCTTCAGTCTAAGTTCTTGCTAGAAGCTACCCTAGAGCTGGTATGGGTTCAGACAGAGGTGAAAATTAAGGATATGTTAGTGTGATGCCTAATTTCCTTCCCTTGTGTATTGGTTGAGTCTCTGTTAGTATGCATATTTCTTTGTGTCTTGTCATCCTGTGATGACCAGTATGTGTGATAACTTACCGTCTCTTTGAGGGCCTAAATAACCCATGAAGCCACGCTCCTGTGGCAGAACACACAGCACTCAACACCAGCAGGGGGAGGGCAAAGCATCCTATGTTTCCTCCTAAAAGTTGCCCACTCTGCTTCCGTGCAAGGCTTTGTAGAGACCAAGCCTCTTCTGCCATTCACAGCATGAAGGTCGGCCCCTAAGTGACAGAGGCGTTGGCATCGCATGTGGCCACACTGGATACTGAATATTAGAGTAGAAGGAGGTGGGGCCAGAGCTGGAGAGGAGTGAGTGGTCTCAGTGTAGAAGCACATGGCTGTAGCCATCTGATCTTCACACCCGGAGCCTTGGGAGCCCTTTCCCAGGCTACAGAAGGGTAAGGACTGGGTGGAAACCGCTGTGGATAAACTACTATGTTCATGCTGACTGAGCCTCCATCTCCTCCCTCGGTCCTGCCTGGTGCCCAGAGCCCCCCATGTGTGTCTCCTACCTGCTTCGGAGCCCTTTCCCACACGCCTGCTGTCCCCAGGTGATTGTGTCGGCCCCGTGATTTTTCCCATACTCTCTACGGGGAAAGCATGTGACATTTTTCTCAGACAGAACTGGCTCCCTCAATATATGAAAGAAGGAAGAGCCAAAGTGTTTTGGACTGAAAGAGAGGTAGGGTGGGCCGAGGTGTTACCTGCAGGGATGACGTCCCCTGATGTACATGTGGATGGTCAACCCTGCGGCTGGGCTGCACACTGGTGCCTCAGGTTCAAAGCCAGCCTTGCTATTTGTCAGCCTGTTTATTGTTAGCAAAATGAACCTGTGGCCACCCAGCCTCCTGTGGAAGTTGAAGATTAAATACAAAATATACAAGTTCAGTGGAATTTTAATTTTTCTGTTTTTAATCCTTTGTCTTTTTACTCCTAGAGGGGTGATTCCCAATGAACAGAACATTCAGGGAACATTTGGCAATGTCCGTAGATGGTTTTGGTTGTCAGAACTGTAGGGTCAGGAGGTTTGCTTGGCCTCTAGGGCTAGAGCCCCAGTATGGTGCTGAACCTCTTACAGTGCATAGAAACTCCCATGGCAGAGAAGGAGGCGTCCCCAAATGTGGTGGGAGGCACATAAACCCTGTCCTGGTGCCCACCAGATACCGGGCATTGGGGCACTGTAAAGATCCACATCACAAGTGGTAGAAGGAACTCACACCACATAAAGTGATTTATTGTGTGCATGGGTGGCTATATTAAAAATATATTTATATGTTTGTGTCTAAAAAAGGGATGCAGAAATGTAAGATTATGGGTGACTTTTTATTTGTTCTCCTTCTATCTTTCTGTAATGATTTTTTTTTGGTACTGGGGATCGAACTTGGGACCTTGCGCTTGTGAGGCACGCGCCGGAACCACTGAGCTAAATCCCCAGCCCTTGATTTTATTTATTTATTTATTTATTTATTTTGGTACTGGGGATTGAACTCGGGTCCTTGCACTTGCGCAGCAGGCGGTGAAACCACTGAGCTAAATCCCTGGGCCCCCCTTGATTTTTTTTTTAAATGGTGATCTGGTATTAACTTATAATTAGGAAGAAAAATATCCAGTGAAACCATGTGCATTAGTGGGAAGAGTCCAGCTGGACTGTGACCAGTGCTGTTTTGTCTCGTAGGTGGTCTGGGCCTCTCCAACACCATGTATGCGCGGCTGGGGGAGACCATCAGCCTGGATGGGTCCATTACCGTCACCCTCACGGGGCACCAGGCCATCGGCCTCAAGGTCAGCTGTGTGGGGCTTCTTGGGACTTTCTGAGGGATGGAAGGCAGGGGCTTGCTCACTCCTCTCAGATGAATCAGGCCTGATGGCTCAGGGTCTTGGAGAAGAGCCAGTCCAGCTGCTTTTGCAGCCCCGCCCTCCACTGGCCCATGCAAGCAAAGGCCCTTGGCTCCCACTGTCCCTTTGTGCTGGATCCTCCTCCTGTCTCCCTCGTGTTTGACCCATCCTTCAGGGCCCATCCTGCAAGCCTTCAATCTGGGGTTGGAAGTGAACCCTTTCCTGAGCTGTCACCCTGCTGTTTGTACACAGGCCTTCCTCACCCCAAAAGACTCAGAGAATGTTGGGACAGGTCTAAGGTCATGTGGCTCTCAGTGGCATTGTCATCAGAGTTACCTCTGCTCAGTATAGACGTTGAAGAGAGCTAAATGAGTTCTCTAGTCCTTGGGAACTAGCCTGTGCTGCAGTCATTTGGTGACAAGGCACATTTGGGGCACAGCTCTGACACGGACTGGGCACCTTCCCTGTGCTGGGTATGGTACCAGCGCCCCACCTTCACCACTCGTCATCCAGACCATGCTGCCAGTGTGAGGAGTCCCCAGCTTATAGATCATAAGGTAGAGACTTGTAGAAGGGACATTCCTTGTGCAGGGCTACCTGGCTGGGTAGTAGAAGAGGCCCTGACCCCAAAGCTCCTGTGGTCGTGTGGGCCACTGCCCTGGTGGGTGTGCAGTGGTGTGGCTCACTTGCTCTGCCTGAGCTCTGGGCTCCTGCTGTCTTCTCCTAGTGAAGTAAATACTGTGCTCAGAAGGGCGATGTCACCCAAGCGCATGTCCTGCTCTCTTCTCCTGATGGCTTCATTAGCACGTGTGTTTTGTTTAGGGGATCATCTTGGTTGGCACCGAGGAGCAGAAGGCCAAATACCTGCCCAAGCTGGCATCTGGGGAGCATATTGCCGCCTTCTGCCTCACAGAGCCAGGCAGGTCTGTCCCTCCTGGATGTGTTATACAATTCTCAAAGAGCTGTTTGTGTGGAGGAGCCGACTTGTTTTTCTTCCCTATCTGAAATCTTCAGAAGAATCAGCCCATCAACTTCTTGCCAGTTTTCTTGTCTTAATCTTACTTCTCTTTGCTGAGATAATAACCTGGCAGCATGATGTTTGTTGAAAAAATTCTGCATCCCCTGAACATTCAGGGATTCTCCTCTCGAGGATATGGGGTGGAGCCACATCCCCATTTCCAGATTAGTAGCTGAGATTCAGTGAGGTGGTGTGATCAGCCCAAGGTCACATAGCTAGGATAAGCAGGGTGGGGAGGACTCAGGCCTTCAGGGCAAGTCTATCACTCTGATCACTCCTTGGGAAGCTGTAGTGGTCATGTTCCAGCAGCAGAGTTGAGATGGGACAGATGTCCTGTGCCTTGGAAAGCTCAGCATATCTGAGCTGACTCTGTATGTAAAAAGCTTGCCGGCTTCTGCAGCCAAGTGCTAGTCGCTTCCATTCCCAGGCCCCCACCCCTTCCTCATTTATTCCCTGTATGGTTCTGCCTTGACCACATCTCTGTGTGTGCAGTGGAAGTGATGCCGCCTCCATCCAGACCAGAGCCACGTTAAGTGAAGACAAGAAGCACTACATCCTCAATGGCTGCAAGGTACAGCCCTGCCTCTGTCTGGTCAGGTCTCCCACAACCCTCACTGTTTTGGGACCTTTACCCCTGCTGTGTGGCCACTTTCCACCCTGAGGAATTGTTGCCAGTCTGCATGTCCTCTCTTGCCCTGTCTTCCTGCTTGTTGGGTGAATGCTGCTCCTTTTCAGCAGAAGAAACCGCAGCTCAGAGTGGCTAAGTGACATGGCAGAGGTCCTGTGTCCTGTGTCACTCCTGTGGCAGCCAAGGCAAGGTGGCTCTGGAATCTCCATGCTTCTGGATGCTGCCTCCATGAGCGACTTTAGGAGTTTGCTTAACATCTTTCCTCTCTAAAGTCCCAGACAACATAGCCAAGTGTGGTAGTGTACACCTGTAATCCCAGTACTTGAGAGGCTGAGGTGGGAGGATTGAGTTCAAGGCCAGCCTAAACTGCATAGTGAGATGCTGTCTCAAAAAAAAGTAAAATAAACACAAAAAATTCCAGACATGTATGACTGCTGTGATGCATTGCTATGGATCTGGCACCCAGCCATCATGATTCTTCTGTTGCCTTGCCAGTTCTGGGTGGCATCTGTGACAGTGTCAGCATAGATGTCTAAAAGATAGAAAGCCATGATACCATTATCATGTGAAAACTGGAAAAGTTTCTTACTATCTGGTCAGCCTTCGGAGTTCCCTGATTGTCTCATACCTTTTTCCCTTTAATAGTTTGCTGCTTAAATCAAGATTGAAATAATTCCTGGCCATTGCAGTGTTCAGCAGTCTGTTTTTTTCCTCTCCTTCCTCCTCCCTTTCTTCTGCCTTTCACCTCTCTCTTCCTTTTTTTTAATTGACAAATCCTGAATGTGATGTTTGCACCTCTGTACACCCTGTGAAATGATGGAATCCCTTCTTGTTGAAAGCCCTTGTTGTCTGGTGGTGGCATCTGAGGCACATGAATTCCACTGGCCACCCCCTCTACCCAAGCTCCTATTTTGGGAACGTCCTTGCTCTGGGGAGACTGGGCCGAATCCCCAGCCTCTTTGTGCAGGTGTGGCCTCTGCAGAGCCAGACATTTTCGTGTCTGGCCTGCAGTTTGGTGGGCAGCTAAACCTTGGAGACAAAGATGGAGCCGAGAGGTGACTGCAGAGACTTTTTGCTGTCTTCCCTCAGGTCTGGATCACTAATGGAGGTCTGGCCAGTATTTTCACTGTGTTTGCAAGGACTGAGGTGGCCGATTCCGATGGCTCAGTAAAAGACAAAATCACAGCATTCATAGTTGAAAGAGACTTTGGTGGAATCACTAATGGGAAGCCTGAAGACAAATTAGGCCTTCGGGGTTCCAACAGTAAGTGTGTGTTTGTAAAAGTGTGTGTAAGAGAGAGAGAGGAGGAAGCAACCCATCTTCTACTCTGTCCAAATATCAAAGTAAAATGAGATTTAAATCCCTTTGGGTTTTTTTTTTTTTGGTACTGGGGATCAAATTTAGGACCTTGTACTTGTGAGGTAGGCGGTGGCACCACTGAGCTAAATCCCTGGCCCCTAGATCCCTTTGTTTTTTTGGGTTTTTTTGGTAACAGGGATCGAACTTGGGTCCTTACACTTGCACAGCAGTCGGCGAAACCACTGAGCTAAATCCCTAGCCCAAAGTCCCTTTGGTTTTAAGCGAGCATGACACTGGCTGTGTGCCTTGCTGTGCATGGAGCTGTGGGGATTCCTGGGGAACCAGGCCAGTAGAGTGCTGAAGCTGGCTGCAGGAGGTAGCAGACCCACAAGGGCAGACAGCAAGTGTCCTAGGCACACACCCTGTGCCGGGCCTCCCATCTTTCCCCCTGCCACCTCTGTCTTCTTGCTCCTGTCACTCTTCCTGGCCCACGCATCATCCCTGGAAGCACTTGGTTCCTTGGAGGCTGGTGTGCTGATCCCTGTCCTTGGCTCTTCCAGTACTGCCATGGAGTCCTCACGGTGCTCGGCTCTCCTAGTTGAGATATCGGAGTGTCCATCCTGGAGGGGACCACATACTGCCCTTGGCATCTGCGGGCCACCTCTGCATGCCCCGTGTCTTCAGGGATCCTGCTGTTGGGGTGGCATTATTTGGCACACACTGCTCAGGATGTGGGGAGACAGAGAGGCCCCCGAGTTCTGTCCTGAGTCCCAAGGACATGGAAGCTGTGTGGCCTTGAACAGTCTCGTTTTTTCTGGGCTGTAGTTTCCTCAGCTGCAGGAAGGAGGAGTGAGAGAGCCCATGGGTCTGACTGCGATTACTGGTGCTGCTTCTTGTGCTGCAGCGGGGAGCACAGAGGCCTTGGGCTAAAGAAGAGCGAGACAGGTGGGCAGGAGAGAGCGGGAAGGAGCGGTCGGGCTGCTGAGGAGCAGGTCTGTAGGGGCCTGGTGCACTCTGAGGCCTGGGCAAGTGGTGTCCTCCAGGGATCAAGGGGCACAAGGTCAGGTCAGAAAGGGAGGCAGGGTTCTACCCATACCCAGCAGCCTTTGGCAGCAGGGCCTGATCCTATAGCCCATATACTGCCAACCTTAAGGATGACCTGGAAGCCAGACAGGTGGCAATTTCCTCACATTTCACCCCGCCGTCTTTCAGCACAGTTCCAGTAGTAGGAGGAACAATTAGCAGACACAGCTTGCCATGCCTGGCTTGGGTCCCCTTGAGCGCAGACCCATCCTGAACCTCCTTTTCTCTGGTGCACAGTGCCGGGAATTGCCATACTTATGTAATGAGACATGCAAACACATGTTGCAGAAACTGCGCCCTCACCCTGCCCTACCTCCCATCTCGATCTGCATCCATCCCCCTCACGTTGACCTTGCTTCTGGAGTGTGTCTCTCTGCAAGGTTGCTACCTACCTGCCTGGCGTATCTCACAACTCAGCTCACAGCGAGTTCATTTTGTTTTCTCTCAGTCCTTGGGTGCCTGGGGTAGCCCGCTGTAGGCCATGGTTGGTTCAGGTTGGCCTGTGTTTTTGTTACCATCCAAGGTACGTACATCTAAAAGCCTCGCTCATACTAGATCAGCTGCACTCCATTGGCCAAAACCAGGATCAGAGGCAGGGAAAGGGAGGTCTGCACTTCCCAAGGAGGGAGGCCCCGCTGCTACAGCGCAGTTTAGGGTTTTGTTAGAGCTGAGAACTGGTACCAAGAATCCCATTGATCCTAGGTCTTAGGAAATGCTGATTCATCTAGTGTGAATGTTCTTTCTCTGACTTTACCCTTTAAGCTTATGCTACATATTATGCTCTTAATATGAATATTATCCACCCTCTCCAACTTCTGTCTCTCTCTGTGCTGTTTGTTGCATCTGAGGCACCAGCCAGGTTATTACATCGTCTCCCTTAGAGTTGGTCTCCCTGACCCAAAGTATGAGCTGTACCAAGACAGGAGCTTTGTCTTTCTATCTTGTCCACCCTGTTGCTGAATGAATGAACGAATGCATGCATGAATGAGTGGATGAACTGTGGGTCAAGTGCAGAGTGGTTTGCATTTGTTAGATCAGATCTTACATTTCCTGTTGCAGCTTGTGAAGTCCATTTTGAAAACACCAAAGTGCCCATCCAAAATGTCCTTGGAGAAGTTGGAGGTGGCTTTAAGGTGAGTTGTCCGCTGAGGCCCATGGAGTGGTGTGCAGTTTCACGTGTAGGGCCTGTTGGTCCCACTTTTTGTCCCATCCCTCTCCCTGTTGGGCCTGTGAGCAGGAGTACCTCTGTGGCAGGAAATCAGCAGCATGGAGACTGGAAAGTCTGCTCACTCCTAGAGGAGTCTTGGTTAGGACTGGAGGTCTTCCTTTGTCACCAACGTCTCCTTTGCCTCGAGTGCAGGATGGGTCTCCCTCTCCAGCAGGTGGCAGAAACAGGCCAGCGGGCCCTCGAGAAGCTCAGGTTCTGAGACTGCACCACCCTGGTCTTGAGTCCCTGCCCTAATTTTTTTTCCCCTAACTTGGAATCAGGTTTATTTCTTATTGAGAAATAATTCATATAACATAAAATTCACCATTTTAAACTGCACATGCCAGTTGTTTTTAGTACACTCATTATGTTGTGCAACTGTAACCAGTATTTCCAGGGCATTTTCATCACTCCTGAAAAAGATAAATCATACCTTCCAACCCCACCTCATCCCCATCCTATGTCAACCTCTGTCTTACTTTGTGCTTCAGTAGTTTTGGCATTCTGAACATTTTCATATAGATGGAATCACACAATATTTTGTGACGGGCTTCTTTGGCAGGATAATCTTTATTTGTCTACGTTTATACTGTAGCATGAATCAGCACTTATATCCTTTTTATGGCTGGATAATATTCCAGCATGTGGACAGACCGCATTTTATTTTTGCATTCATCAGGTTGAGCTATTTCTACTTTTTGGCCATTTTCAGTAATGCAGTTTTGAACATTTACATTCAAGTGTTTGTATGGAAGGTATATTTTCTGTTCATTTCACTATGTACCTAGGCGTAGAATTGCTGGTTATATGGTGGGTGTATATTTAACTTTCTGAAAAATTGCCAAACTTGCTGTGGTATATTCGTTCCCACCAGCAATGTATGAGGGTTTCATTTTTCCCACATCTTCACCAACATTTGTTACCATCCATTCTTGAAATTTATACCCATCCTAGTCGGGGTGAAGAGGAATCTCAGTGTGGGTTTAATTTGCATTTCCTCAATGATTAATCCTGCTCAACATCTTCCAGTATGCTTATTAGCTATTTGTGTATCATCTTGGAAGAAGAAACATCTTTTCCCATCCTCTGTCCACTTTTATAGTTTTTTTTCTCTCTCCATTTTTAAATGAAGCTGTTCATCTTTGTTGTTCTGCCCTGGGTGTCACCCTGAGCAGCTCCACCCACCTTGGCACAGGAGGCTGCTCAGTGAATGTAGAACAAAGGGCCAGAAAGGAAAGACAAACAAGGACTAGGCTTCGTATGGTGAGAAGTTTATTATTTATGTAGCCCAGATGTTGTCTGCAAATTAGAGGATAAAGACAGAAACAAAATTAAATCATGCAGAGCCCATGCCAAGACAGTTGCTGTTGGTCACACATTTGGTGCTTTTTAGATCGCTTAAAATAACACACAGCACGCACTTTGTGTGTGTGTGTTCTGCATTATAGCCTGTTTTTCCATGTATCAAATCCTAACAGTCTTTGATGCTGTACAGTATGTCTTCATATCCTGTACCCATTTAATGTTACCAGGTATTGCCTTGACTTTGTACTTATTCAGAATTGTGTTACAGGGTCTGCGTGCTTGTGCATATCTTTGCACACTTGTCTAATTCTTTCCTGAGTTTGTGCACACCAGTAAATCTTCTGGGTCAGATGCATGACCTGTTTTATATTCCCAATCCCTGTTGCCAAGTGTCTGCAGGAAAGGTAGACAGGAATGTGCTCTTCCAGGCAGTAAGAGAGCTCCTTTCCTCAGTCCTCCCAACACTTTTTTTCTTGTGGTGCTGGGAAATGAACCCAGGGCCTTGCATATGCTAGGCAAGCATTCCACCATTGAACTACATCCCCAGCCTCGATACTATATTAAAAATTTTTTTTTTCTGTTATAATTAGCAAAAATGGTTGTTTTAGCAAAGGAAAAAAGATTTCGAAAATTCTGCTGTTGTTACTAGTAGGACTCCTGCCACTTAGCCTAAATATTCACTCCAGTGAATCCAGAGATCATAAAGCAGTAAAGGGTTGGGTGAGAATTCAGTGGGCTGCCGTCACCGGCTGTTTGCAGCTGAGCCCTCTGTGGTAGGTCAGGGCGGCTTCTGGGACTGTGGGCAGTGTGGTTCGGTGAGGGCAGTGGGGCATATGTCTGCCCCTCTGCCAGAGAGAGGGTGGGGAAAGAGTAGAGACGCGGCTGGAGGCCTCTAGCTGATTCACTGGGTCATGCTTGTGCAAAGCTGGACGTCAGGCAGATGGCTGGCTGTGGGCCCTCGGGAGTGTCATGTCACCACCCTGAGCTGACGCTGCTTTATCTGTGAAATGTGGCTTCTGACCCTGTGGTATTGCAGGGAACAATCGGTGCAGCTTGTGGTGTACACCCCGCCGATCTGAGTTTCTGCTCCCCTCCCTTAAGCATAGGCCATTGACTTTTGGAATAGCATTGCCCAGTGGCATAGGCCGCAAGGATGTGGGTGGGAGCTGCAGCAGTCACTGAACCACTTTGATTCGAGGAGCTGGATGGAATATGGCTTCTCTTGGCTGGAAGGCAGGCAGGATGATCACCTGCCCTTGTTTTCAAGATACCTTTCTGGGAAAATAGACAGACATGGTGGGATCTATTTCTTGTGCCTCCTTCAGTGCCCCTGGGCTTTTCCTACTCTGCCCACAGTTGGCCATGAACATCCTCAACAGCGGGCGCTTCAGCATGGGCAGCATAGTGGCTGGAATGATCAAGAAATTGATTGGTAAGTAAGTTGTGGCCAGGAGGCCTTTGCGGTGCCCTGTTGCTCTCACTGCAGCCGGAGGCTGTGCTGCTTCCCCAGGGTGGGCTGGTGCTGAGCCAGGCTGCCTGCACAGAGGGCTTTGTCCCCACCCGGGCCCAAGGGTTCGTCTTTGTATTTCAATACTCCAGGCTTACCCACACAGAGAAGGGAGGAGGCCAGGCATTCTGGCTGAGGCAGAGCTTGATGAGGTTGGACCTAGTGGCGGTCCTCAGTAGATCCCTGTCTCATGGGTGACTGCACCCTGAGTGAGCAGTGGGGTTAGGCTTGAACCAGGGCCCTTGGCTTCTGGACCTTTCCTTTGTTTTTTCTGTGTGGAACTAAGATTCTCCCTTCTCTGAACATAAACCAGCCCAATAACCATTCTTGCTGTGTGGCTCTGACCTTGGGGAAGGGACATTCTGGGGAGAACACCCCTTATGACTCTCAAGAGTTCAGAGTAAGGTGGGCACACAAAGGCTCTGGTTGGTTTCCTCCCCTCAGTTTGATAGATGAGGAAGCAGGCCTAGAGCAGGCAGGTGATTTGCCCCAGACCCACACCTGGACCTAAACCAGTGCTGCTGCGCTGGGCTCAGGGTTCCTCTGCTGTGCTGCTCACAAGGCCCCTGCTTCCGCTTCTGCAAGAGCTTTGCACAGCCCTCATGGTCAGCACAAAGGGCAGAATCTCTGATGAGATCCCACAGCCCAGAAATGCGTGGGTGTGGGGCCCATCCTGGGTGACTGAGGCACACAGGGAAGCACTTGGAGCTTGGTCCTCAGGCAGGTCCTTGCCACCACCTGGGTGGAGGCTGGTGTGTCACTCAGGTGTGCTCAGAACTCACCTCCAGGCCTATGTTCTGAAAGCAGGCACCTCTGCTTTCCCTCTGTGTCTTCACAGTTACTCAGGTCAACAGTGTTGAGGAAGGTAGAGTGCTTGGCTACGGCCCCTGTGCTAAGAACAGGGCCAGGCCTCAGGTCTGGGTGTGACTCAGAACTCTGTGTGCTTTCCTCCTGCCACTGCCTGCTGGGCCCAGCCCCTGACCCATAGCTGCTGGAGCCCCGGTCACTGGCTTTGGGGGCATCTTATTGGAGCAGACAGGGTTCTCTTAGTTCCTGTGGCAGGCTTAAAGGATAATGGTGACCCAAGACCCTATAGATCGCATTTAGACAATCAGAAAGTTTCCGGTTCTAACAACTCTGTTCTCCTTCAGAATTGACTGCTGAATATGCCTGCACAAGAAAGCAGTTCAACAGGAAACTGAGTGAATTCGGATTAATCCAGGTACTGAAGGCTGTGATTTCACCATGTGGACATGAAACGTGTGCTTGCTGCTGTCTCTGTCCTGGTGCCTCTTGTGCGGTGACTTAAGACCAGAAGGGGGTTGGTTGACATAGGCCCCTTTTATTAAGGCTGGGTTTGGTTCTCTTGGGCAATGAGGCTTCTGACTTAATTAGCTTCTCTCCTGGCTGTCAGACTTGGGTCTCAGCTCATGATTGTGTCTTTTCTGAACACCCCAGGAAAAGTTCGCTCTGATGGCTCAGAAGGCTTACGTGATGGAAAGCATGGCCTACCTTACCGCGGGGATGCTGGACCAGCCAGGGGTTCCAGACTGCTCCATCGAGGCAGCCATGGTGAAGGTAGCCAGGAGCGAGGGGCAGACAGATCCCTTCTGTGGCCTTTGGAACCTATTCCTCTTCTCCTTAGTTAATAGGTCAGCTCGTCCTTGATCCGGGATGTGCAGTTCTGCAGGAACAAGTGGGGACAGGCAGGGCCCCTAGCAGGCAGCTGGGAGAAGTGGCAGAGAACAGTGCCCACCTGGGTGTCACTGTATCCCAGGGGTTTATGATGAGTTTACACTGGCTGGCTGGTGGTCTAGAACCACAGGAGAAAAGACAGATTGTAAAACTCCACATCAATGTAACTTGCCAGCTGGGCTGTCCTAGGAGAAGGTCCTTTTCTTCTGACTTGATGGCCTTCTTACTTTTGGGATCACAAGTGCCTTTTGGGGGGGTGGGTACCGGGGATTGAACTCGGATCCTTGTGCTTGCAAGGCAGGCGGAAGAACCACTGAGCTAAATCCCTGGCCCACAACTGCCTTTTATAGTGTTTGAGGAGGTAGATACCAGTTTCATGCTGCTTTTGTGTAGGGGCTGTCATTTGTCTTAGCTATACTGAAAAAGATGGCAACCTCCTTTCACCCTGGAAAGTGTTGGGGTCCTCCGGAAATGAGCTCTTGAGAGGTCTGGTGCCCTGGAGAAGTGAGCATTCTGGGGATGGCAGGATGGGCAGGCAGACAGGGTGGAAAGTGAGTTTTTAGGTTCAGCTTGTGTGCTGGGTATGATGGCTCTGGCTCATGGTTGCATCCTCCTGTCCCTCCACCAGTTCCACACAGTGACTGGTAGCTGTGTCCTGAGCCTCTTCAGATGCTAAGCTAAGAGCAGTGGTAGTGAACCCATGGCACAAGTGCCACAGTGGGCTGTCTGTATCATTGAAAGCTCTAAAAGGTTCGCCATCACTGGCCTAGAGCCAACCCTGCCAAGTTTCCACTCCAGGACACTCAAGAGTGGACAGGGAGAGAGAAGTCCTAGTCATGCAGAGCTGGGAGTCGCAGGTGGCTGGGGCTGGGCAGGAGTGAGTTCACTCCCTGGAGAAGGGGGAATTGTGGGTGGGTTTTAAAAGCACAGGGTTGACTCAGCTCAGGAACGCAGAGGTGTGAGAGGTCATGGTGGGGTAGCAGCCTCAGGAAAGGTCAGTGTTGTCAGGAAGGCATAGGCCTTGAGTGCAGCCACGTCTTCCTGGGGCCAGGCTGACCCCAAAGTGCAGGTTCTTCCCACACAGCCTCCCCTGCTTCCCGGCCAGCTCCTCCCCAAGGTGTAAGTCCTTTTCTTGGCAAGGATTGGGCCTCAGCACCTTGTACTCACCTCACCATGGGTCTCGGCAGGTGTTCAGCTCCGAGGGTGCCTGGCAATGTGTGAGCGAGGCACTGCAGATCCTGGGGGGCTTGGGCTACATGACGGACTACCCCTATGAGCGCATGCTGCGCGATGCCCGCATCCTCCTCATCTTCGAGGTGAGTGGTCAGCTGCAGACCTCCCTTGGATCTCCCCACCCACCTCTGTCTTCCTGGACCTGGGGGTGCTGTGGAGGGCCCAGCAGGGCTCCGCATGGCAGGCTGTGTCTGCTCACGGCCCGCTTGGCGGCTGGGAGAGGCCAAGCAGTCACTTAGTTGCGTTTCCAGGGCCCTGTCCACTGTGCTTGCCACCTCCTGGTTATCCACTGTGGGTCTTGGCCACGTTGCTTCCAGCTGGACAGGGTGGGACAAACATCCTGTGGGAGACCTTGGTTCCAGTCGCAGCTCCAACTGTTTTCATTTCATATTGTCTGGGTCTTGGTTTCCTTCCCAGTAAACTGAGGCAGGCCAGCAGGGTCAACTCTGACCCTGACAACGTCTCACCCTGACACTTCTCTTCTTCTCTAACTGCTGCCCTCCAAGCAGTCACACCCTAAAGGGCCAGTCTGTGTGTGCCAGGTGGGGAGGGGTTGGGGGACAGACACACCCTTGGGCTGCTGCATTCTAGGGACAGCCCGACGGCCAGAGGACGCTGTGGTATGGGTACTGTGTGTGGCTGGGAGGACGGAGCTGTCTGCTGAAGCTTGAGTGCTTGGCCCTTAGAAAAGACTTCAGCTAGGGATGGGAAGTGTGGGCAGAAAGGCAGGGAAGTGGAAGGTGCCGGCCCCGGATGGGACCTGACGGTGGGGCCCAGGTGACTGGAGAGGGAGCGAGTGAGCAGGTCTTGGTGGGAACAGCATCAGTCTGCTAGCTGGCTGTAGTGGTGGAGTAGCAGGGTGCCCAGGGAGGATGTGGAACACAGAAGGAGCTGGACTGTGGGAGACCTGGACTGACAAACAGGAACTTTGGAAACCATAGGAAGTTTTTGAGCAGAAATGATTTGGTTGTATTTATGTTCTGGGAAATTCTCCTAGGGCTACTGAGACCAGAGGATGAGGTATTTCCTCTGCAGGGAAGGTAGACTAGAAGGTGGCCAGGCCTGGCCTTGTGTATGCAGGAGGCATGGGCCTTAGTGAGGGTTCTAACCACACCACAGGCCTGGTTACAAGAGGCCCCTTAGACTGTGGTTGAGTTGAGGCTCCCAGGCTGTGCCCCTCAAGGAAGGCCACACCCTGCCTGTCCTCTCCTATTCAGAGTGGTCATGTGCCAGCCTGAGGGAGGACTTGCATGGGGCTGCACCTGAGAGACCCGGGCTCCCGTGCCACTGGGTGGGTGCTCAGCAGTGCTTACGGGAACCCTTGAGGCCATGGCTTTGTGGGTACAGAACCTTGGGTGGAGGCAGATGCTGCTGCTTGGAGGCAGCTCAACTGGGGGTGGTTGTATGGGACCTCCACTCTACTCCCCATCCAGTGGGCGCCTTTCTGTCCATGCTTAGGCAGCTGCCCCCACTGCCCTCCCAGCCATGGGTCACAGTAGGATAGGGAGGGGTGCATGGGAGCCTCTGGGTATCAACCCCTGGCACTCGAGCTCCCAGCTGCTACTGCTGCTGCTGCTCAGTGCTGTGCAGCTTCCCAGAGGAATCTGGGCTCCAGCCAGAGCCAGCAGACATGTATCCCGCAGTGGCTGTGCTCTGGGCATTGGCAGCCCCACCACCAGGGAAAGCTGTTTTAAGCTGTTTGTTTTAAGGAGTTGTCACGGCTTAAAGAAAAAAGTGACCTATGCCAACTGGCTTTCTGGGGAGGTGCTGGGCCTGTGGGCAGCCATGCCCTCTGGTCAGCTCCCCATCTAACCCCCACCTGGTCACAGCCCCACTCTCTGCTGAAGTGGCAGTGAGGGAGCGGGGGTTCCACCTTCCTGGCATGAACAGCACTGCCAGGGCTGCCCACTGGGGCAGCTAGTGACTTCCACACTGCCGGCCACAGGGAACCAACGAGATCCTCAGGCTGTTCATTGCTCTGACAGGCCTGCGGCATGCTGGCCGCATCCTGACCGGAAAGATGAAGTAGGTGCTGTTCCCTGGTCTGCTCCTTGGCCCACCTGCCTGCCTGCCCTGGGATGGGAGGGGATGAGGGGACAGCAGTGGGTGGGGGTGCAGCCATGCAGCGCTCCCTCAGTCCCGCAGCATGGGGTAGTGACTGCAGGGGCTGGAGCTCGGCCTTCACCTGAGAGTGACAGGAGAGGCCAGCTGCCTAGGGAGGCCCTCCCTGCCCTGCCTTGCCCACTTGAACTCCTCCTTCCCCTCCCCTGGCAGCTACAGCCTCCCACACTGTGGTGCCTGGTGTTTCAGAAACTGAGGAAGGAGAGGTGTCCCTCAAACAGGTGGCCAGCCTGAGACCAGAGCCTCTTCTCTGCTCTTGTCCCGGGGCAGAGCCATCAGATCCCTGACTGAGCTTGAGTACAGGCTGCTGATAGCATTTTGCAGCCTCCTTAATTGGGAAGGGAGCTTTTGGGAAGCTGGCTGCTGCAAGCATGTGCTCCTTGAGGAGAGCTGCTGCTTGTGACAGGCCAACAGTCACCCTGCACCCACGAGCCCCACATGCCCGGCCGAGAAGGGGTATAGAGCTCCAGGGGCCCTGGGAGTAGTGGGAGCCGGCGGTGGGGCCTAGAGCCATGGCACCATGGACTTTCTGCAGTGAGCTTAAGTGGGGCAATGTGGGCGTAGCCATGGGGATCATTGGCCAGAAGCTTCGGGACGCTCTGTGCCAAACCGTGAACATGGGACTGACAGGCAAACTTGGACTGGTGCACCCTAGTCTGGAGGTAAGTGGATCTCCTCATTCTGGGGGGCTCTGCCAGGGGAGGAGCAGAGGCACCTGCATGCTGCTGCCCCACTGGGGCCAGGAGCAGTTGGGGAGGTGCCCCAGTACTTCCATCACATCTGTGTGGTGGAGCCCTGGGCTGGGCACTGGCAAGTGGGGATACAGTGCTGAGCACAGTCCTGTCTTGTGGCCGAGTAGGACAGTGCAACCAAGCTTGAGCAGAACGTGTATTACTTTGGCCGAACTGTTGAGTCACTGCTTCACCGCTTTGGAAAGGTAAGAGGGCTCTGCCAGATTGGAGCACAGCTGGCCCCCCAACATGCCCAGCAGCCACAAGACCACTGTGTGCCCACCTGTGGGACCAGGAGAAAGTTTGGTCACTGGGTGTGGTGGGATCTCTGCCGGCTGAGTTTTCCAGTGTTCTCCTGGACACCTTCTGGGTGGGGGCCTGAGTCCAGGGGCCTGGTTTTCGGGCCTTGTCTGCGGGCGCTTGAGCACACTGAGCACCAGCCTCTGTCAGCCAAGGTTCTAGGACCTCACCTTGACCCTGGCCCGAAGAGAGAACACGAGGCCACTGGGAGTCGCCCTCCCCCTGCCTGGCCCTTGGGTACCTGGGCCAGGCAGCAGGTCTCCACTCTGAGCTGTGTCCCCAGAGCATCGTGGACGAGCAGCTGGTGCTGAAGCGGGTGGCCAACATCCTCATCAACATGTATGGCATGACGGCTGTGCTGTCACGGGCCAGCCGTTCCATCCGTACTGGGCTCCGGGACCACGACCAAGAGGTGAGCCTGCTCAGCCCCACTCAGGAAACAGGCTCTGTGACACTGGGTGACTTGCTTTTGGGGACAAAGCGAGTTTGGGTCAGGGCTTAATTAGAACCCAACACTGACTTCTGAGCCAGGCCTTTGTCCTGCTGCACTTTAATGAAGTCAGTGGTTGGAGAAGTGGGAAGTCAAGTGCTGTGGCCCTGCCGAGGTGTCCTGAGAACAGGCGGCGGCGTCCCATGCCTTGGCCTTGGGAGGGTCCTGCTGCTTGGGAGATAGGGCCAGTGCCTTTGGTCTCCATCCTAGAAGAGAGGGGGTGACAGCAGCCCATGAAACCAGTGGCCCCTCACCCTGCCCATGCCTGGCCCTACTGGGGGAAGTGGATAGAGTCACTGCACCTGCTGTTTATATGCAGGGTCCCACAGTGGCCCATGGACACTGGGACTATGACACCCACCTTACAGAGGAGAAACTGAGCCTCAGAGATACTGAGTAAATTGCTCTTGGGGACAGAGCAAGTTTGGGTCAACTGGGGCTTTTGATCCCAGCCACACTACCTAGTCAGGAGGGCCACAGGCTGGGTTTCTGGGAGACTCCAGAATGCCCTCAGCCATCCTGTCTGACCTTGGTTTCGGCAGATTCTGTTGGCCAACATGTTCTGTGTGGAAGCTTATTTTCAGAATCTCTTCAGCCTCTCTCAGCTGGAAAAGAGTAAGTGGGGGACTTGTGGGAGGGAAAAGTGGGCCAGGTCCAGGCTCCTGTGGGACAGCTATGTGCTCCCAGAGCTGCTGCCCGTCCAGGGAAGAGGGCAGACATTGTACCCCAAGTCCCGCACGCCAACCGAAACAAACCTGGAGTTGTGCAGGGGCCTCGGGCTTCGGGCCTAGAGAATATGAGACTTAGCCCCTGCTGCTGTTTGTCTGGGCTGCTCTTCTTCTTCCATAGCCACATCTATGGAACATGTCTAGCTCAGGGTCTAACCCTAACGTCAGTGTTCCCTGCAGAGCCCAGCCTTGTGGCAAAGTGAGGGTAGAGAGGGCCACCATGGCCCTTATGGGGAGGCTGCATCCTGGGCTCTGGCCCAGGCACTGCGTGGCCACAGGACTGGTCCGTGTATGGCACATCTGTTTGCTGAGCAGGCTTCTCCCCACCTCTACCCCGCAGAAGACCTGGGTTTAGAGTAGGACAAGCCCTTTCTATTCAGGATGAAGCGTCTAGCCCAGCGAAGACAAAACTTTCACAGTTTTCTACAGTAACAGCCAGCTGCAGCATATGTGCCATAGGTTCACCACCATTGCTCTGGCCCCTTCTCTCGTAGGGCTTTGGAGGGAGTCACAACTGGGGTGGGGGGTGCTAGCTTTTTGGCCCCCTCACCGAAGCTCGGCCCCCTTTGTATATCATGGTGCAGAAAGATCCCCGCTGTTCTGTCTTCCCACCCAGATGCTCCAGAAAACCTGGATAAGCAGACTAAGAAAATAGCCCAGCAGATCCTCGAAAAGCGAGCCTACATCTGTGCCCATCCCTTGGACAGGATGTCCTGAGGCAGGGACAGTGCTGCTTCCCGCTCCCAGGCCACAGCTGATACCAGACAGCACGGAGAACCCAGGGCCATCCCAGCTGGAGTCACTGTTACCAGTGTGCACTGGAAGGGCTTCCTCCTGCCCCAGGGCCTTGGCTGGCTCTGCCCTGCAGCCTGCATCTGACTGGATTACAGCTGCGGAGAGTGAGAGCATCGATTTGCACTGCAGCTGTGGGACATTCAAGACACCACAGGCTGGGGATTTAGCTCAGTGGTTCTGGCGCCTGCCTCACAAGCACAAGATCCCGAGTTTGATCCCCGGTACCAAAAAAAAAAAAAAAAGACACCACAGTGGTGGCACCAGGCTTGCAGGGCTCAGCTGAGGCAGGGTAGTCATTTCTACCGCACCACAGGCTAAGAAACAGTTTGGAATCTGCGGCTGAGTCACACACAGATACTAGGAGCAAAACGCATTTTCAAATGTGTCAGCCATTTAACAAAAAAGAATATCCAGTGCTCCAATTTGTGTGTCCCTTTCTAGCCTTACTAAACTAATCACATTCTCTCCCAGAACTGCCTGTGAGTAGCTAGCAGCACACCCCTGAGAGCCACTCTCTGGCAATGCCTTCTGGTCCCCTCTAGCCCCATTTTGGGAGAGGAGGAGCTGAACACCAACAGGTAGTGCACAGCCACAGGGCTTGTGCCAGAGCCCTAGCCTTTGACCCCTCTCAGGTGAAGGGGAAACTGCACTGCCCGGAGTATACAGCGTCTGCTTATTTGCAAGGATTGGCCTCACTCTTGAAGAGAGAGTGGCAAGGTATCTTTAGGTGGCACTAACAGGGCTTTGCATTTCCTCAAGCTTCTGTCTGGTCCTTGGGTGTTTGGGCTCCAAAAAGCCTATTGTGCAAGTTACCTGGAGGCAAGGAGGAGACCAGACCCTCTCTCCTAATGGGGGAAGGTTTACAGATACTGTGATTTGGGAAATAACGTCCCCGTGAAACCCAGAGTTCTTACTTTGTCAGCGAACAGGCATTTAGTATGAAATTGAGAGTAGCTGCCTGGTCAGTATTGTGCTGGACGGGCTGCAGAGAGCTCCTTTGCACGAGAAAAGCTTGAGAAGTGGGCAGAGTCTGCCCTACTCTGGAGGGGCACCTGGCCTGGTGGCAGGTAAGGTCCCCTCACAGGTTCTCCACTTGCCCAACTGCACAGGGTTCATTCTCCCTTGCACCCTCTGCCTTTTCTTAAACGTGGTGGTGGAGGGGAGGCCTGGAAGCTCTTGGGGAACCTGGGCTGGGAAGGCCGGTGGTGGAGCTGAGGAGGGAGACCCTGTGCACCTGAGCCGAGAAAGGCCAGCAGGTCTGTGTCCTCTCCCCCAGGCTCACAGGCCCAGGGCCCCTCCGAGAGGGAAGGAGCAAAGCCCAGGCGATGGAGGTGCTGATACCCCAGCACTTTCCCCCATTTCGTGTAGCTGTTCCCTTGTCCCCAGCTGTCCTCAGGAGTTGGAGGAGGGAAGAACCCCTCTTATATGATCTAGGTTTGTGGGAAAGGTTTTCCTGGCAAACCATTTTACCTTTACTAGGTAGAATGTCTCTCCCTGAACAAAGTTTCTGGCTCTGTTAACCAACAAACTTGGGCTCTATATCAACCTCAAAATGACCTTGAAGTCTGTCTGTATACACACAAGCAAAGAGAATTCAGGCTTAGTGTAGCAAGGCTTATCCTTCCCACCTCCCTCCCTATTCCTCCTTGATCGGGAAGCTCGGAAACCTGAGCCCTCCCTCCCACTCCCCCATTTTATAGCCGAGGAGCCAGGCCTATAGCAGGGAAAGGATTTGCCCAGAACCAGACAGCTAGCATGGTACACAGGACTAGAATACAGTCTGTACACTGGACTTGCCCTGAATCCTGATCACTGAGCCTTGAAAGTCTGAACCTGTAGCTAAAACCAAATGGATGGTGCAGAAGACAGGAGGCGGGCCAGAGGCTCCACTGGGACAGGTCTCACCCTACCTGTCAGGGGCAGCTCTAGGATAGGTGGGGGCTTCTTGTACAGCTCAAAGTCCCGGTGGCGCTTGTCCCAGCTCCACCTCTCTCTATCCAATGTGGGCTTCAGCACATTAGCAAACAGCGCGCGCTCCATCCACTCCTAGGTTGGGAATAGACAAGTCAGGAGGGGAAAGGGCCCTGTGGAAATGCCCCAAGCCCTGCCCTGCCTGCCGACCTCCTTCAGCTCTTCAGTGGGTAGCCGTCTGAAATCCTGGTGGTGGCTTTCGGTGCTGTTGTGAAGACCTGTCACTTGGAACCCGCTGGCTGTGAGCCAGGCCTGGCGGGATTTCTTCTGCGCTTTCTTCTCCTCTTCCTCAGAGTTCTGAGGCTCCACCATGGCCGAGAGGTAATTCTGAGAGTATGTGAATCTCATCCTTGGCTCCTGGAAACAAGGGACAGACAGCGATGGTGAGAAGAGCTGGGAGCAGCCTTGGATAGACCTGAGTGGCCGCCAGAATGCCAAGGAGGATCAGAATGGGGCACAGTGACAGTTCCTGGTGAATACGTGGTGCATTCAGATGGCCGGAACTGTGTGACAGTCCTGTGAGGGGCACGATATTGTCCCCTTTGACACATGAAGCAGTTTCCACTTACGGTGGTGCTGAACTCTAACCCAGGCTTTTCCTTCTGCGTGACTCTGCCCTCCACAAGCAGAAACAAGCAAGGCCCCACTCGAAGGCGCCTGCTGTTTCCGGCTGTGCGATTCTGAGGATCTGACGGGGGCTCTGGCTGGCCCTCGAGTGTAGAATAGGACTCTCCTCCCAGCACCCACCCCTTATCCAGTCCCCTTAGCTGGCTGGCTGGCTTTCATCTCCACCCCCAGAGTCCTCTCCGACTGGCCAGTTGCCATTAGCCTGTCGCTTACCTTGGCCATCTCTCGATACAGCTCCTTCTTGGCAAGCTCCGAGGAGTTCAGGGTCTGGATGCTGTAGTTGTGGATAGGCTTGGTGGCAGGAGAAATTCTTAGCACCTTTACTACAGACTTGGGTGGCCTCTTGGTGCCCTCATAGGCTTCTGTGATGTTTCTCTGAAGAAAGACACCAGTCATGACCCACACCTGGCGTCCTCACCACTGCTGCCACCTGTGCAGCGCGACAGCCTCATACATGGCTGTGCTACAGACACTGACTGAGCCTGGACACTTGTGACACTGCCTCATCCTAGAACTACAACATAAGCCCCTCTAGTCCAGCCTGTCCACGATGGAGCTCAGAGGAGCAGAAACTTGAGACACATCACCTAGTTACTGTTCTGCCACCCCCAGCTGTAGTAGTGAGCCAGAATGTGTGGCTCAGATGGTCAGAAGTGGTGTGGATGGATCTGGCCTAAAGCAGCAAGGACTGCCATCCTTGACCGTGGCTGTGAGGTACTGGGGGTGGCAACCAGGGACATGCTACCAATGAGCTACATCTTCAGCCCCTTTTTGAGATAGGGTTTTGATAAATTACCTAAGCTTGCCTCAGACTGTCAACCCTCCTGCCTCAGCCTCCCAATTAGCTGAGATTACAGGTGTGGGTTTTGCCCTTGCCCTTGGTTTGCCGGGGTTTACTTTTTTTTTTTTTTTTTGATACCAGGGATGGAACTCGGGACCTCCAGCTTGCGAGCTAGGCAGTGGCACCACTGACCTAAATCCCCAGCTCCGGTGGTTAACTTTTAGTGCTGAGTGCACACGGACTGTGACCTCTCTCCCAACAGGCCCAGTAGGGGAGCAGGAACCATTCCTTTGGGAGAGAGGATGTTGAAAGTCGTTGGCCTCTGGGCTAAGGGCTACTTCCATGGATGAAAATAGCAATGAGATGGGATTGGCAGACAAAGTCAAAGAGAAAACGGGAGACTTCTGGGAAAGGAGGGGTTGGCAAGCGTACACGAGGCCCTAGGTGCCATCCCCAGCCCTGGAGAACACAACAGACGAAAGTGGCCGAGACTTGAGAGAGGGAGACTGGGGAAGAGTTGTCGCTTCAAATGATTACTGTGCTTGCCCTTCGTTTGCTTACTTGCCTTCAGCAAAGTAAGCATCTTTTGATTTCAAAATTCTTCTCTTCTCAAGATGGTAACCTTACTCTGAGAGGCTGAGGCAGGAGGGTCACAAGTTCAAGCCAAGCTGGGCAACTTAGTGACTTAGTGAAACCCTGTCTCAAAAAGTTTAGAAGACATTTTGGGGCTATAGCTCAGTATAAAGGCCCTGGGTTTCAGCCCCAGCAAAAAATATGGTAACCTTAAACCGAAAGACTTTGAGGAAGACCACCAAGCAGTCAGGAGAAAGCTGAGTATGTGATTCCTATGAGAGAGAAGAAACTTCAGGCAAGAGGATCCCATAGCTTGGAGCAGCAGGGACAGAGGCAAAGGCAAGTCAGGAGTCACTGGATGAGGGACAAAGCTCAGACCACTGAGCACCCTCATGCCTGCAGAAGTCACACAGCTCGTCACGGCCCACATGGGAATGTCCTGCCTTTTGAGGGGTCCTTTGTGGGAAGGGTGGTCTGATTTACTCAGGCTTGCCATTGGCAGAGGTTGACATTCTCTGCTCTCAAACCCTACAGCTGATGGGTACAACCCAAGGACACGTGATTCCTTGCTATTTCTTCCTTACACTTTAGGAGAAGTGTGGTTCTGACCAACATAGTTGCCTGGTGGAGGGAAAGCAAGCAGTAACAGTTCCTCTGGGTGCCCGATGCTCTGCCCAAGGCTGATATTGGCAGGGGAACCGGACTTGTCGCCAGAGTGTCAGACTAACTGGATGTCTGAGAAGTACATACAGTGTAATAGACCGTGAACTGAACCTCTGAAGCCCCATTATTGGAAGAGGCGTGCTAAGAATTTAAGATAATGTGATCAATCTTAGGTAAGTAAAGACAGAGCTATGTAGCAGAAGTAAGATTAAAACAGTACTGGGTACATAAATATTTCAAAAGAATGCAAGTGAGCTAGGCAGTGGTGCATGGCTGTAATCCCTGCTACTTGGGAAATTTAGGCAGGAGAATTGCAAGTTGGAAGCCAACCAGGGCAACTCAGAGAGGCTCTGCCTTAATTAAAAAATTCTGGCAGTGTAGCGCAGTGGTACAGTGCCTGCCTCACATGCACAAGGCCCTAACTCGATCTGCAGTACTGGAAAAACAAAAGCAAATAAAAAATGAATGAAATATAATACAGGAATGATACGCTACAGAATGGACTAATGAACTGAAAACAACCAGCCTGTAATATACTTCAGAAAGCAGCAATGGATCAAAGAGAATTAGAAAACCTGGGTATAGAGGATGGAGAGAGAGCCAGCAACATCCAAATGACAGAAGTCCCCAGAGGAAGGGGAAAATGAGAATAGGAAGATTTGAAGAAACAATGAGGATCAGAATAGATGATAGAAATTCCACGCCTGGGTACACTGTTATCAGTGAGACGTGAGAGAACAACAGCAAAGATAAATTCTCAAAACAGAAAAACACTAGGCTACAAAAGAACTATCAGAGTGACGTCAGACTGCACATTGGAAACACTGTTAACATAATATCAAACACATTCAGTGTAGGCAAACTGCCTACTTAATTGTGAAGAAAAAAGTCAAATTAAGAGGAAAAAAGAAAATTATTGGGGTAGATTGTTTAAATTCCAGTATCTACATAAGAGACTCATTCCAAATGGGAATGAAAAGCGTCACTCTAAAAAAGAAAGAAAGAAAAAAAAGCCCCTACTTGGACACCTAGAGAGGAACACTAACAATTAAGAGACAGTGCTAAAATATTCAGAATTCTAAATTTTTTGCTAAAATAGAAGAATTAGACCTATTTGTGGCCCTTGGTTCCAGAAAGCAATGGAGTTCTGGGCAAAGCCTAGTAGGTGGGATTTGAATCCATAACCTGGCATAGCCCAGCTGCTGTTCAAGTGAAAGGATGGGATGAAGGCCCTGACCCTAATCACCCTGAGTTTACGCACTGAAGCTTTCTGAATGAAAAAAATCAATCGGTCAATCAAAGGATAGTAGACCTGAGCCAAAGAAACTGTAGCAAACAGAAATGAGCAAAATTTGTAGCTGGGCAAGAAGGCAGAACTAGTATGGTAGAGTAAGGAGCTCAGGAAACCTCAAAACATGGTGGCCAAGCTGTCGAAAGCAACCACTGGAGACTGACCAAAGGCATCCAACACACTGAGAAATGTTCAGTCATAAATATGTTCTAAAAAATGAAAACCCCCAGAACCTCAACTTTAAAACAAGCAAATGATCAGAATAGATATTTCTCAAGAAATCCAAATGGCCAACAAACAAACGTACACACACACACCCCCCGCCCCCCCATCAGGGAAATGTGAAAGCTACAATGAGACATCTCTCGGCATGTTAGAATGGCTATTATAAAAAAATGTTAACAATGGGAGGCTGAAGCAGGAGGATCACAGGTTTAAGACCAGCCTGGGTAATTTAGTGAGACCTGGTCTGATTTTTAAAAAAAGGGCTGGGGATGTAACTCAGTGCAAAGGCCCTGGGTTCAAACCCTAGTACTGCAAAATGAGTCAATCTGGCAAAGATGTGGAGAAAAAGGAACTCCTACACTGCTGGTAGGAATGCAACTTAGTACAACTATTATGAAGAGCAGTATGGAAGGTCCTCAAAAAACTAAAACTAGATCTGCTGAATGGTCCAGCTACCCCAATTTGGATACATACCCTTAAGATCCCTGCATCCCTGAGTCTGCTGCAGCTCTATTCACAAAAGCTGAGGTATAGAATCAGCCTGAGTACCCGTCAAGAGTGAGCAGGTGAAGAAAGCATGGTGTATATATCCACAGTTACTGTTTAGCCATGAGGGAGGATGAAATCCTTCATTTGCAACAAAATGGAGGGAACTAGAGGATATTAAGTGAAACAACTCCGACACAGACAGATACTACATGTTTCTCTCCTGTATAAACAAGTCAAATGTAGAATAATGCTACTGGTGGGGGTGGATTAGTGCCATGTGGTATGCATGTATTGTAATATCACACTGAATCCCATGAATATACACCACTCATACATGTTGATAAAAACTAAAACAATACTATAGAGGAAAAGGTATACTGACTCAGGTAAGCACACTGGGAATCACTCCTAAGCCCAAATGTGGCTGTCTTTGCAGTAAGGAGAGTAAGGCTAGGTGAGGTGAGGTGAGGAGGAGGAGGAGCCTTGGTCTGACAGGACCAGTGTCTAAAAGACACCAGGGAAGCTGGGCTTGGTGACACCCACCTATAATCCCAACTACTCTGAGGGCTGAGGCAGGAGGATTGCAAGTTCAGGCTCAGCCTGGGTAATTTAAAAAGACCATATCTCAACATTTTAAAAAAGGGGGTGGGGTGGGGATATAGCTCATTACTCCCTGGGTTCAATCCCAAGGTCTCTCTGACACCAGAAGAAAAAAAATGATAAAATTCATAAAAAAGAAATGTTTACACTTCAAACATTTTCTTTCATCATTAAAAGCCAAGCCACAAATAGGAAAAATATTTATGAATCACTTCTGATTAAGAACTTGTATCCAGAATCTATGTAATTTGAAAATAGGACAACCTACTTTACAATGGGTTAATGAAACATTACACCAAAGAAGTCTAAGTTGCTAATAAGCACATTAAAAGAGATCTAGCATCATTCGTCCTCATAAAATTTAAACGAAAAGCACAATGAGATGCATAGTATGAATAGGAAATGTCAAGCTATTTCATAGACGCAATTCGTAAGATAAAAGAAATAATTTAAAATTATGGAATGAGGGCCGGAGATTTAGCTCAGTGGTTTCGCCGTCTGCTGCGCAAGCGCAAGGACCCAAGTTCGATCCCCAGTACCAAAGCAAAACAAAACAAAACAAAATTATGGAATGACATTTCCAAGTGATTTCAGTAAACTGTAGGAGATAACAGGCTATTAAAGTGTGTACTAACAGAATGCTATACACCCATATTATGTAAAATCTGTAAGACTTCTTGTTTAATAGCACTGAGAAGAAGTATTAACCCATGAGTGAAAGTAAGATATTCCTGTCCTTGTCGCATGTAAGTGTACTGAGAGGGCAGGAGAGAGAAGACAGCACTCAGTGCTGCTGTGCTATTTAATGGGAGTGTACTTAGATCCTGTTTTGTAATTTATAAAAGATTCAAGGTGAACAGTAACCAGAACATAAAATGCATATACCACTTTGTGGAATATGACCAACAATATGTACAGAGGAGAGATCATAGCCTTAAGTTCATGTTTTCTTAAACTAGAGAGAATAAAGATGAATGAGTCAACTCAAGAAGCTAAAAAAGGAGAAAAGTGTTAAGTTAAACATATAAAAATAAAAGCTGAAATAAATGAATCAGAAAAACTGAAAATGCAAAATTAATAAATTCAAGAATGAGTTCTGAAAAAACGAAAACCCTAGACAATAAAGAAAAAAAATAGCTTCTTTGGTCTTCATAAAGGACATACATATGAGATGGTTATTACAAGCTGTTGCTCGTGAACGTGTGTGTGTGAGAGACAGAGAGAGAGAGTGGGAATTGAACTGAGGGCCTTTGCTCTGAGCTATATCCCCAGCCCTTTTCTTTCATTGTATTTTGAGACAGGGTCTCACTACAGTGCCCAGGCTGGGCTGGAACTTGCAGTCTTCCTGCTTTGCTTCAGCCTCCCAAGTAGCTAGGATTACAGGCCTGCAGCACCATGTCTGGCTTAATGTCAACTCATTAGGTTGCACCTAGAAATGAATCAGTTTATACATTTTTAGGAGCCGGGGGTGGGGGAGAACTGCAAGGAGATAAAAACAAGAAACCTGGACACTAGAGGAGGGAGTGGAGATGGCGGGTGAGGGAGGCTAATTTCTGTCCTATGTAGCTTGGACAACTTGTGACACATATGCCCTTAGCAGCTCAGGCAGGAGGTCATACATGTACCTACAGGGACACATGCACACACACGTGACAGTTCCTTCTCTAAAACGAAATCTGGGGCATGGCAAGTTACATGCCCAAGCACCTTCCTTCTTACCTGTAGGAAGGGCAGATGAGGCCAGCCAGCACCGACAGTGGACACTTCTGCATGCTCAGCCCCGATCCCTGGCCCTTCCAGCCTGGGCCCCAGGCCAGAGGCAGGTGCCCATCTATTCTTGGCAGGAGGGAGGGATGCCCACCTGGACCAGGCTGTCCTTCTGGTGCCGGCTCCTCTGCAGCATGGTGGCCCGCCACTGCAGGTACTTCTCCTGGTGGGAGAGGATCTCAGAGGTCAGGGTGGAGCCCTGGCTCTGGAAGGCTTCCAGGTTGGGGGCGGGCTGTGGCGGCAAGGCCAGCAGCTTTTCATCTGTGAGGTCCTCTTGCGAGATGGGGATGCCAAACTCTTGGTTCAAGTCTCTGATCATGGCAGAGGAAGGCAGCAGGTCTCTCACAATCACCTCCTTGAGCCGGGTGCTGGTGTGGCAGATGTCGTGGATCCTGGAGTGAACAGCCACCCCCTCAGCCTGGCCTGTTTGGTGACACAGGGATGGCCATCCCCATCTTACAGGAGGCAATGAGAACTAGGAGTGGCAGGTTAACAGATTCCAGTCTGATGAGTCTGGACTCTCAGCACGTGCCTGGCCCCTCCTCTGTGTCCCCAGACGTTAAGAGCCACCCATACCTGCCGAGTACTCTTCTGTGGCTGGTCTTGTCCATGTCCTTCATCAGCTCCCACCCCACTGCCACCTAACGGGGTGGACTCAGAATCCTGCCCAGGGAGGGCGATGTACACATGGCCTCATTTCTGAGCATAGCGTTAAGGATTGAGTGTTCGCCCTGCCTCTCCCACCCTTCCAAAGGTCCTCCTGGTGCAGGTTGTGGTGGTGCAGGTCTGTAATCCCAGCACTCTGGGAGGTTGAGGGAGGAAGATGACAAATTCGAGGCCAGCCCGGGCAACTTAGCAAGATGCTGTCTCAAAACAAAAAATACAAGAGGCTGGGATGCAGCTCAGTGAGAAGGCCCTGGGTTCAATTTCCAGTACCATACACACACAAAAAAGCAAACCTAAACAACTAAAAACACCCCCTCCACCTTGGTGCCTTCTCCCAGGCCTAGCATGGCAGTGCCAGGTCCACATGGGTGTTGACCAGCACACATGCCGCTATCCCCACAAGTCCTGCAGTCGGGTACAGTGGGTGCCTGGGGGTGACCCCTGCTTCTCGTCTAACTTGCTCAATTTTGGCTCCTTACCTTTCAGGCAGGAATAAAGCCAAGGTAAAGGCAGCTCCCACTTGGACGGAATAAACAGCTTTCTTCTCTCTCCCTGACAGAGTGCCCAGTGACTTCCCATTTCAGGCGCCCAGCACAGGGTCCTGCCATCCCCTGACCTCCAGGCTCAGGGCCCCCAAATGCCTGGCACCTCCTCCTGTGGCTCCCAGCCTGGGAACTCCCATAAAGCTGCACTCATGTGCGCCTGCCTGGTTGCTGGGGCAGCACTGCAGGGTGGGGGTGGGGGTGGGGGGGGCGGCAAGGAAAAGTCTCCTGAGCTCGAATTCTTTCTCCATTTCTCTGCCGCCTTCTTCTCCATCATCATTATTATTACTAGTACTGCTACCACTGCTCTCACTACCATCACTACTATCTACTATTAAAACTAGTTTTTGTGGTACTGGGGACTGAGCCCAAGGTCCTTGCACTGAGCTACATTCCTAGCTCTTCTAAAAAATTCTTATTTTGAGACGGTCTCACTAAATTGCTAAATTGCCCAGGCTGGAGTCAAATTTGTGATCCTCCTGCTTCAGCTTCCCAGAGTGCTAGGATTATAGACATGCCCCATCACACTTAGCTCTTTTTTGTTTTGGGGGGCAGTTTTTTTTTTTTTTTGAGATGGGATCCTGCTATGTAGTTCAGGCTGGCCTCGAACTCACTATGTAGTTCAGGCTGGCCTTGACCTCTCAGGAATATCCATGTGCCTCAGCTCCCCAGTGCAGGGATTACAGACATGCTCCACTAGGTCCCCCCTTGGCTGATCTTTATTAAACATTCAAGGAGCACAAGATAGGATGAGGAGGACCCGCCCCCCCCCCGCCCCCCCCCCGCCCCCCCCTCGCCTGGCCAGCGCCTGGAAGACTGTACGTGGCACTGCTTTGCGCACGTAGAGGGCCTGCCGCTTCAAGAGCTGCGCCACGGGCTTGGAGAGGTGCACGTGGTACAGGACCGTCTCCAGGTCTGCGTAGAGCCTGCGGCGGAACAACAGCTGCGAGTTGTACAGCACCTTGTACTCCCCACGCTGGGACTCGGGGATTCTGCAAGAGAAGGTGGAGAGAGAGGGCATTCCCGTAGCTCCGCTGGTCTGGGAAAGTGGCTTTGTTGTCTAGCAGGGCTTTTACTTTTGCTTGTTTGAAAACAAAAGGGCCAGGTATGGTGGCGCATCCCTGGGAGGTTGAAGCAGGAAGATTGCTGGAGCAGGCAGTTTAGCGACTTGGAGAGATCCTGTCTCACAGGGTGAGGGGTCGGGGGTGGCGGCTGGGGATGGAGCTCAGGGCTAATTCCTGGGCTTTTACGGTTTTCTTATTGATTCACAAGATGTCTTTTACATGTTCAGGTTACTAATTCTGTTCCACACATGGCGCTTATTTTTTCCTGTTTGTGGCTTATCTTTTTACAATTCTTAGGATGTCTTTTGATGAACAGAAGTTGCTGATTTTAACATAGCCAAATGTATCACTCTTTCTCCCTTACTCTTTCTACTATTGTCTTGTTGAACTGTTTCTCTATTGTGAGGTCGCTAATTTATCACCTAAATGCTTTAATTTTGTTTTTCAAAAAGGGATTTTTCAGGTGAAATCTGAGTAAGATCCCTGCAGTCTAGTTAGGCATCCTGTTTCGATCAATAAAACATTACAAAAAAAATAAAGCATTACAGTTATGGAAGAACTAGGTAATGGGTGCATGGAAACTGTGAGTATGTTTGCAACTTGTGTGCTATAATTGTTTCAAAGTTAATAGTTTATTTTTTGAAAAACATTTTATTTTGTTTTTTTGAGACAGGGTCTCACTGTGTAGCTCAGGTTGGTTTTAAACTCACTGTGTAGCCCAGGCTGATCTGAAACCCATGATGATCCTCCTGCCTCAGCCTCCCAAGTGCTGGGATTACAGGTGTGCACCACGATGCCCAGCTTCACGTTCACGGATTGGAAGACAACACAGCAAAGGTGCAGTTCTCCCCGAAACAACATATACGTTTAACACTACTCTTAACAACATTCCAGCAAAGTTTTTGTGAGTACAGACAGCTTATTGTACAATTTATATGAAAAAAGCCAAGGGACTAAAAAATCAAAACAATTTTGAAAAAGAATAAAATGGAAGGCATCACTACTCAATTAGCTGCTATAACCAAGACGGTGTTATTGGCAAAGGATAGATACAGATCAATGGAATAGAGAAGAGATTCAAGAAATGGAGCCATACAATTATGAGTAGCTGATTCTTGATAAAGGTACAAAAACAATATATAAAATAGTATTGCAAGTCTGTGAAGAAAATCCCAAGGAGTGTACAAAGGGGTGGTATTTTCAAAAAGTGGTGCTATAGCAACTGGATATCCATAAGTACAAAAAAGAGACCAAACTAAACCTAGACTTAAACCTCACGCTTTATACAAAAATTAATCTAAAATAAATCATAGATTTAAATGTAAATCATAAAACTGTAACACTTTTAGGAGAAAATACTCAGGACCTCAGGCTTTGCAAAGAATTCTTACTTGACACTAGAAGCATGATCTATAAAAGAAGGAAAATTAAATAAACTGGACAACATAAAGATTAGAAAATCTTTTCTTTGGGAAATAACTTTTTAGGGTACTGAAAAGATAAGTTGTAGACTAGGAGTAAATTTTTTTTTCATACCGGGGATTGAACTCAGGACCTTGTGCTTGTGAGCCAGGCACGGTGCCACTGAGCTAAATCCCCGGCCCCTCTAGAATATGTTTTTAAAACCTAACAGTAAAACCACCCTATAATCCAGTTAGAAAATGGGCAAATGTCTCAGGCACTTCTCTTCACTGAGACACAACACCTGATGCCCACAACTTAAAGGAGACGAGGTTTATATTGGCTCACAGTTACAGTCACGGTCAGCTGGCTCTGAGGAGGAAACAGCATGGAGGAAAGGCAGGGCAGAGGAGCAGCTGCTCATGTCATGGTGGCGGGGAAGCAGAGTTAAGTGAGGAGGAGGGAAAGGAGATAGAACCTTCTGAGTCACAGCCACAGTGAGCTGCCTCTTCTGATCAGGCCCCACCTCCTAACAGCAAGTCAGCTGTAAGCCCCATGTGATCCAGTCACCTTCCAAAGGTCCCTTCTATGATCTCATGAGGCTTTAGGGAGACTCCTGATATAAACCATAACAACAAAGGACATGAAGAGACATTTTACCAGAGGATGCACAGATGGCAAATATTAATACATGAAAGGTATTTAGTATCACTGGGCACAGGAAAATATGAACTAAGGCCACAGTGAGATGTGACTACACATCTACTAGAACAGTTGAAATAAAAAATAGTGACAATACCAGAAATGGGCAAGGATACAAATAAATTGGGTGTCTCATCCATTGGTAGTGAAATGTCAAATGTCACAGCTACTCTGGAAACTAGGTCAGTAGTTTCTTTAAACTACAAAGCTGAGGAGCGGGGAGAGGGTGGGAGTCCACCAGGGATGAGGCACTCAGGCCATGATGGAATTCTGCCCACCACACTGAATGTACACATATCATTTGACCAGCAATCACTTCCAGGCATGCACCTCAGGAAACGAAATTTATGTCCACGCAAAAACCTGGGTATGACTGCTCATAGCAGCTCTAATTATAGTCAAAAACTAGAAACAGCCCAAATGTCCCTCAACAAGTGGATGATTACATAATGGCACAGCCATGCCATGAAACACTGTGCAACAATCAAAAGAAACAAACTACCGATACACACTTTGGATGGGTCTAGAGGGCATTATACAAAGAGGGGAAAGAATCAAAAGGTCATATATTTTCTGATTTTACTTATTTCATTATAGGATGGAAAATAATTAGTACTTGACCAAGGTTAAGGCTGGTTAAGGAGGTAGGTTTGACTATAAATGGGAAGCAGAAAGGAGATCTTTCTGGTGACATAATAGTTCAGGATCTTGATTGTAGTGGTGGTTACATCAACTTATATGTGCTAACCTGGCCTGCACAACACACACACACACACACACACACACACACACACTGTACTAAGGTTAATGTCCCATTGGGATTACAGGTATACACCACTGTGCCTGGCTGCTTTATTATTTTGTCCAAATAACATTCGTACATACATACGAATATGAATATATATTCATATATATATGAATTTGTTTATCCATTCATCACTTAGTGGACATTTAGATTCTTTCCATTTTTGGGCTATTATGAATAATGTTGTTACAAATATTCATGTATTAGGTTGGTGTGGGTATGTTTCAATTTTTCTTAGTCATAGACCTGGGAATGGGATGCCTGAGTCATATTGTTACTCTATGTTTAATCATTTAACAGACTGTCAGACTATTTTCCAAAGCAGTGAATAACAGTTCTGATTTCTCCACATCCTCACCAACATTTCTAGACTTTTTAAATTCTAGTCTTTCTAATGGGTAGGAGGTGGTACCCCACTGTGTAAAATTTACTATTTTAAAATGTACAATTTAGTAATTTTTCTCATTTTAGTAATTTTAGCATATTCATTCCATGCTGATTTTGTAATATCACACATATCATATAGCAAGCAATAGCTTATCTGTCATCTTTTTGGATTATCTATTATTTTCAGGGATCTGCTTATTATACCTGAACCAATAGCATATTGTCTTAATTATTTTAGTTTTATAATAAATCGGTATCTAGTATGACAAGTTCTCTCATCTTGTTTGTATTTGAGTGTCTTTTTAAGACCTGTGTATGCTGATGTACATTTTAAAACCAATTATTCAAGTTCTGTACTTTGAAAATGTTGGGATTTTAGAATTGGGATTGCAGGGGCTGGGGATTTAGCTCAGTGGTTCTGCTGCCTTGCCTCGCAAGTGCAAGGTCCAGAGTTCAATCCCCAGTAGCAAAAAAAAAGAAAAAAAAAAAGAAAAAGAAAAGAATTGGGATTACATTGACTTTATAGATCCAATTTAGGAATAACTGATATTTTAAGAGAGTTTTCCCATTCATGAACATAGTATCTCTCTGCTTATTTGGGTCTTCTTTAATGTTTCTCAAAGTTCTATGATATTCATGATTGAGTCTTTTCATGTCTTTATGGTAAATTTATTCCTATGAATTTCATATTTTTATACTTCAAATATTTTTAAATTAGTTTTTAGATGTAGATGGTATCTAGCAATTTAATAGCATTTTCCACCAATTTTTATGTCCAGAAATTTCATTAAACTATCTTATCTGAACATGTTTTTGGCATTAAAGTTTTATAAAATTTTAAATTTATCAGCACAGTTTGAAATACATACATCAATGTCTGCAACATCTACAGTCATGTCTCATTAATTTTTAACCTTTTCCTCTCAAATCTAAGGCTGTAATTTTTCCTCTAGGTAAGGGGCATTTGTTTAAAAGGTTTAAAATTCCTTAACGTTTAAAAATTCCTGGTACTACTATCACAATTTACGGAGCAATATACGCGATATAGTGAAAAGCAAAAGGGAAAGGTTCAAACCAACAAAAGAACTCAAGAATGAACATCTAGTTGTCACCACATTGCATACATCAGTAGACAAACTTTTTACAAAGTGTGGCCATGACAGTCCTGGACAAGAACGGCTTCTTGTTTAAACTGCAGTCATTTTTCTGACTACACATCATTGTTGGTCCTGTAGCAGATTTTTACAGTTCCTCTAATGCACCTGAGACTGTCTCAAAGTAATGGGCACCTTTCCTGATGACTGCTCTCTCTCCTGATAAGAATGACAGCTCTTTTCTGTTGTCTTTAGATTCTTCTGCTACCATGTCCATGTCTGGTGATACTTCTATCACGAGAGTAACTGCCCGAGCTTCCTCCTCCAAAACTGCTCTCCTTCCTGGGTCCAGAGTTGCTGTTGTTTATTGCTGTAATTTCCAAAATCATTATAGCTCCCACCACTACTGCCAAAATGTCCTCCTCACTGCAACCGTCATATCCTCCATCACTACCCGCATATCCACCACTCTGCTGTCTGAATCCTGGTCCCCCACCATCATAGCCTCCTCTACAGCTATAACCAGGGCCACCGCCATAGCTGCCACCATCCTGTGTCACCTCCTTCATCATTCTTCTTCCGCCAAATTCCCTCCATGGCCAAAATCATCTCTACCTCCTCCACAGTTTCCTCTCCAACCCGTGAAGGTGCCAGATCCTCCCCCACGGCCCCTCTGAGATCCAGAAGACTGTCTCTCATCTAAAAAGGGCCTTTTCCACTGCACAATCTGCCCACTAACAGTGTGCTATTTCTGAACAACAGTTTTATCAACTGTATCATGATCATCAAAAGTTACAACAGCAAATCCTCTTTGTTCCTCTCTGCCTGACTTCCACGCTTTTTTTTTTTGGTACCGGGGACTGAACTAGGGTCCTTGAGCTTGCGCAGCAGGCGGTGAAACCACTGAGCTAAATCCCCAGCCCCCACACTTTTAATCTAGCCATACTTTGCAGAGTAGCCTCTCAAATTGGGGTTTTTTGCATGTTCTTTCACACCACCAGCAAAAACTGTCCTCACTGCTGGAAGGACCCAGGCTTCCCAAATCCTCTCTGGAGCCAGCTCTCTGCTACAGGCCCAGCAACCTGTGCGTTCTGCACACAGTGCTGCAGCCACCTCTCAAGAGGAAGTCCCAGAGCAAAGCTGCTGGAATGCTCCGTGTGAGTCTCTCATTTCCACACAGGCTGCAGGGCTGGCCATTCCTCAGCATGTCCTCTTAAACTCTCAGCTGTAGTCTCCAAGCTCAGGCCTCCAATAGACAGCTTCCTCCCCTGCTCTGGTTCCTTGGTCATGATCCTCCCTTCGCCAGCTGCTCCTAGTGGTGACCTCTAAGAAATATTTTGACATTGCCTCATGGATTTACATATTATGCATTTTTATTATTGTTCCATTAAAAATGTCTAATTCCACTAATTTTTAGGCTCACATGTTATTTGGAAACGTATTAATTTCCAAGCAGATGCATTTTTCTAGTTAATTATTTTTTATTTCTAAGTCCATTAAACTGAATTCAGTGAACACACACACACACACACACACAAATACAAACACTCATCCCTGGAGCTCAAACCCAGGCTTGCACATGCTAGGCAAGCACTCTACCACTGAGTCACACCACCAGCCTACTTCTATACTTCATATTATTTTTGCCCCTGGAAAAAAAGACTTCTGAAATACAATTCATATACTACACACACAGAATGAGCTGGACTGCAGAGTGTGAAGGCACAGCCCCCCAAACCACTCTTACTTATGAAGACTATGGACCACTGTCAGGTGTGACACTGGCAGGGCTCACAGGACTCAGCAGGGCTGTTGTCCTCCCAGAAATGGTTTATGACAGGGAAGGGACATAGACTACAAACCAGCCAAGGCAGAGTCTGGGACAGTTCCCAACACTGGCTTCCACTACCCTCTCCTCGTGGAGTCATGGTCCTGACGAGTGACAGCAGTGCAGGTCCTCGCAGCTAGGGAGGCCGTGGCACTGGAGCTATGGCACTCAGAGCAGGGGCGGTGACTCATTGCCCTGTGGTGGCTCTGGGCTCCAGATCAGCCGTACTGTGGGACCCGGAGCCCCACCCTAAATCACATGGCTGGTCTTTCTAGCATGGCCAGCCTTTACCTATGACTAGCAGCGGTAGCCAGTCCCCGTCCTTACCTTAAAATTCAACCTTTGAAAGTGCACAGTGGAATGGTTTTTAGTCTATGCACCATGTAATGAATGTCATGCATACTACCCAATTCTAGAATATTTTCATCACCCTGAAAAGAAAATCTACCCATTACTCATCTTTTCCCCTCCCTTGAGTCCATGGCAAGTATTGATCCACTTCCATCTCTGTGGTTGCTTTTTCTCGATATTTGACATAAGTGGAGTGGCACAGTAGGCGCCTTTGTGCCTGGCTCCTTTTACTTAGCAAAGTGTCTTCAAGCCTCATCTGTGTTGAAGTGAGTGGACCAATACTTCATTTCTTTTGGGGGATGAATAATATTCTGTTCCACAGATACACCACATTGTGCTAATCAGGTGATAGGCATCTGGGTTATTTCCACTTTCTGACCATCATTTAGAGAGCTGCTATGAACATTTGTGTATGAGTTTCTGTGTGGATGTGTGTTTGGTTATTGCCGGTGAATACTCAGACGCAAGGCTGCTTCCTCTCTGGTGACCCTGGCTCATCAGTGCTGCAGGCCCTGCCTGGATACAAAAATGCAACTTCTGGACAGACTGCTGTCTCCATGTGGGGGCTGGGCCACCTGACCTCTGAGGACAGAGGGGGACTTCACACTAAAAGAAGGAAACTATTTTGAGATTACTTACAAATTGTGGAAGAGAGAAATATCATGTCACCAAAACTAAAGAATGGAAGAACATGAGCAGCCACCTGCTGTGGCCCAAGCAGACACTTTAATGTTTCTACAAGGTCCCCCTGAGTGAGAACCCTCAGCTGATGCAGAGCCTCCAGAGGCAGCCCCTTCAGCCTCGAAATAATTAGACAGGGCTTCCCTGGCCTGAGATGAATCTAACACAGAACCCTCTGCCCTGTTAGTCACAGTAGCCCTGGCTCAGGCCTGAGGGAGGTACCTATCTTCTGAACCACACTCTCTGTCTACCCCTAAATCCTTCCTTCCTCCAAACACCATCAATTCTGCCTGTTCTCAAATCCTGCTGATGAATCATGAGGGGAAGAGCATCAACATCTCCCTTTCAGACACCAGGCCAACGACCAGCCTTGCCTTTGGAAGGTCTTCCATCCCCTCCACACCTGGATGCTGTGGCTTTTACCTGAAACACAGAGGAAGTCCCTACCGGCTCTGGTGGCTGTTCCACAGCTGCTTGAGGCCCTGCTCTGCCAAGCCCTCGAGGACAAAGAGGTGGACTGTGCCATCCAGAAGATGGAAGCCAGTGAGCACGTCCAGGGATGGCTGGTCCTGCACCTTCACCCGCATCTTGAAGGCTGACAGGATCTGCTGGACGTTACGGATTGGGTAGGAGTCTAGCTCCAGGGCCTTGGCGTTGATTGTGGTGATATCGTGCAGCAGGTCAGGGAGGAGGAACAGCTTCTTGAAGCTGAACACGAAAATTATGCGGCCGAACAGGGAGTCTGCAAGATCCGGTTGAGGGGCTTCAGCTCTAGGGCTCAGTGGCACTGCGATGCCTACACGCAGCTTAAGCTGTGAGTTTGCCTCCAGGTAGCTGCCCATGGGCATCGGGCTGTGCTGGAGGACATCAGGCCTCCTGTTCTTGCTGCCCTTGGCACAGCCTGTAGACTTGGGCTCACAGCTGTGGATGGGGACAACCAGGTTCAAGTACTTGTGGCCAAGGAGGAGGTTGGCAAAACTGACCCGGGCGACCCCGTAAGGGTTCCACAGCTTTTTCTGTGACTCAAAAGGGTTGTTCTCTGTATCTGCAGGGGAGATGAAGGCCTGCAGGTTGAGGTGTGAATTCAAGGGGTCCTCTCCAAAGAGGATGGGCTTCTGGGAGGACTCCTCAGATTTCCGGTCCCGGTCATGAACTTCCACCACCATGGGGGGGCCTTCCAGGTACTCCCGCAGCTCACTGGGGTGCATGGCCCCAAGGAAGATGACATTGATGTCATGGAAATAAACATGGGTTCCGTGGGGCTCGCCCTTGGTCTGGTGAACCGGCGTCTTATGGAACTGGTACCTGCAGTAGACGGGGGTGCACAGCCTCTAGGAGAGAGCAGGCAACAGCAGGTCACAATGGCTTCGGGTAACACTGCCTCCAGGAAAGGGAGGCTCCCAGCATGGAGCACTCACATCCCATGGCCACACTCACTACTTGCAGCCATGGGAGCCCAGGTTTCCTCCACATGGGCACCCACAAGAGAACCCGCTCTGAGAGGTCACCCTGAACCACAAGGCATCGTATAGGTGACCAGCATGGGGGCTGGCTCGAGACACGGGCTTCCTAAAGTTCAGTCAGTATTTTCCCTGCTAACCTGCAAGTGCCTTTGCAAGCGTCTCTTCACACCTGTGTTTCTTTTTCTTTTTTTGGTAGTGGGGATCAAACTCAGGACCTTGCACTTTCGAGGCACCACTGAGCTAAATCCCCAGCCCACACCTGTTTCTAGTTGTGTCCCAAGGCTGGGCACAGAAAGAGTGGAGCTGAGTTTTTAGAAGAGGATTAACAATCCCACCAGGGTGTGGCTCAGTGGTAGAGCACATGCGTAGGCCTAGGTGAAGGCCTGGGGATGGACCCAGGACCACCATAAAAAAAGGAAAAGAAAAATACTGACAATATGGATGATGTCTAGACATCCACCTGCAGGGCCGGCACAAGCTCCCCTGTGCTGTGGCATAGGTGTCCATGCTGAAAGCTGCAACCATTCAAGGAAGAGACCCGCAGGAGTTGCGGGGCCACAGTGTGTGTGGAGGAGGCAGACGGAGTAGCAAGCTGCGCTGAAGGAGAAGGGAGGGAAATGTGCACGCTGTAACCTCACTGCAAAGATTTTATAATGAAAAGCTGAGCCTGCACAAGTCCGAGGTCTGAGTTTATCCTCTGAGTGTACTATTTATTTTATGCCACAGCTGAGAATTTGTTTTCAAGTAATCCTGGACCAGTAGTGCTCCCAGATACCTGGAAGAGAGTGAAAAATGTCCCTGGAGAAACTCACTTTCAAAAGAATTCCCACTGTTGAGCCAGGGATTTAGCTCAGTGGCACCGTGCCTGCATTGCAAGCACAAGGTCCTGAGTTTGATTCCTGGTACCAAAAAAAAAAAAAAAAAAGAATTCCCATCATCAAAGTGTCAGTGACCACGAAATCACAGCAAAAGTCACAAGCCACCAAAGGAAAATAGTCCCACTCGCAAAATCAGATGCACAAAGTATGTGACATTAGAATGATCAGATATACAAAATGAATATAAAACATTTGATAATTTTGAGAAAATGAAAGAATGTCATCAGGGTAAAAGTTCACTATTTACGAACGATGAACAGTTTAAAAAGCAGTTTTAAAAATGCCATTTACCATAGCATAAAAGTTAGGAAGGAATCAAATGAAAGCTGACAACTATAAAAACACTGCAGAGAGAAATTAAAGATTGAATAAAGAGGGCCGGGGATTTAGCTCAGAGGTTTCTGTGCCTGCGGCGCAAGCGCAAGGTCCCAAGTTCGATCTCCAGCTCCAAAAAAAAAAAAAAAAAAAAAAAAAGATTGAAAAAGATATCAGTTTCACGGTTGTGACCATGTTTATACTGAAATGTAAAGTTAAAATTATAAATCTTGTAGAAGAAAACAAAGCAGAGTATCTTCATGAACTTGGGGTGGGAAAAGATTTAACAGGACACAAAAACCGATATTAGAAAAAGTTGATATATTAGGCTTTATTAAAGACACGATTAAGAAAATTAAAGTTAAGCTCCAGACTGTGAGAAAATATTTATAATACATTTATTTCTGCTAGAATCTGAATATATTTTTTTGTTTTGTTTTGTTTGCAGTGCTGGAGATCAAACCAAGGGCCCTGCGGATGCTAGGAAAGGGCTCTGCCACTGAGCTACACCCCCAGGCCACACGGTATAAATGTTTGTGCTACTCAAATTCACATGTTAAAACCTAATCCCCCATATGATACTAATAGAAGCCAAGGCCTTTGGTTTTTTTTTTTTTGTACTGGAGATCGAATTCAGGACCTCACTCCTGCCAGGCAGGTGCTGTACCACTGAACTAAACCCCTGGCTCAAGGCCTTTGGAAGGTGATTAGGTCCTGAGGACCGACCCACCCCCAGGATTGGGTTAGTGCCCCTATAGCAGAGGTCCCAGAGAGCTCTCTGGCCCCTTCTGCCATGTGTGGACACAGCGGGAAGCGGCAGATTATGAGGAATGGGCCCCTCCCAGACACTGAATCTGCTGCTTCCTTGATCTAGGCCCTGCCAACCTCCAGAACTGGGAAAAGTAAATTATGTTGTCGATAACCCACCTAGTTTATGGTATTTTTGTTATAACAGCCCAAATCAACTAAGATGATATGTCACAAAGGACCTGTATCCACAATATAAAAAGAACATTTACAAATCTATAATAAAAACATTAAAATAGTAAAGAGAAGGTAGGCAGTCCAGTTACATGGAGTGAGCATGCCCCATCCTGACCCTCCCAGGGAAGGCAGCTGAGAAACCAGGGAAGATGTCTCAGGCCCTGAGCAGACTGAAGTGCCATGCCTGCAAGGCAACTGACTGTGCCATGAGCTTCCTGCATTTCACTTTCCTCCTCAATGTCCCAGACTGACCTCAAAGGAAGCCTGAATCCCAGAACTGTGTACCAGGCCCAAACAGACCAAGCTCTAAGACAAGCTTTCTCTTTCCAGTCCAAAAAGTGGGAGAGGAGACCTCTGAGGGACAGAGAGCACAGAGGAAATATTGTTCTCTTCCCTGGTCATGCTCCTGGCAAAGTTCAAGGTCAGAGGTGCTATTTGGTGGCAGCAGCATCATCAGCTGGGAAGTGCCTAAAAATCTGAGCAGAGAATTCTCTCTCAACAGAGGGTGTGTGGAAAAAAGGATTAAGATGTGATATGTGAGGGCTGGGGATTTAGCTCAGTGGTGCTGCCACCTGCCTCACAAACACAAGGTCCTGAGTTCGATCCCCATACCAAAAAAAAAAAAACCCCAAGCAAACTGCAGTGAGGACTCCCACTGCTGTTCTTCCTCTGTGTACCTTCGTACCATGTGTCCTCAGAGGGAGACCCTGTTGCACAGGTACATGGTAGAGTGGGAACCCCAAACCGCACCTTGCCAGCCACAGGATTGGGAAGGGGTCCTTCGGAGCTGGAGAATGTGCAGGAGACTATGGGAAGGAAGGAAACTGAGAGGGGGATCCCATAAAGTCCGGTCTACACTCATGACTCATCCCTAACTGTGTATGCATAGATCAGGTCCTGAGCAGCCCACAGAGGCTCTGAGACCTGACCTGCAGAATAGACCCCTGCCCAGACCTCAGGCTGGTCCCCAGCAGCACATATGCAGGGCAGACTTAAACAGCACCACAAAATCTTTGATTTTGTAGCCATAGCCTACACAGAATGTGATTTGAACTTTTCAGCTTGATCTTAACTGAGTATATTACCCAATAAAAAGATGGACATAGTGGCACATGTCTGTAATCTCAGCCCTCTGGGAGACTGAGGCAGGAAGATTGCAAGTGTGGGCCTAGTCTGAGCAACTTATTGTCTTATTGAGACCCCATCTCAATATCAAAAATAAAAAGGGCTGGGGACATAGCTCAGTGAAGGCCCTGGATTCAATCCCCAGGGCTGAAATGAATGAATGAATAAACAAATGAATGAATGCATGCCATTATCTTCCAAGTATTTAAACAAGTCCCAGAACTTCATAGCATAACAGTCAGAATTTCTAAGATACAATTCAAAATTACTTGACATACAAAAAACCAGGAAGTTTGCCCAATCATCAAGAAGAGAGAAAGTCAATAGATGCCAGCTCTGAGATGATCTAGATGTTCAAATTATCAGTTAAAGTCGCTATTATAATAAGACTCTGAGTTGTAACAACAAAGACTACCCAGAATCACTTGGAAAGGTACCCTGGAGAGATGGGGAATGGATCTGTGGTTTCCAGGGCTGGGGTGGGGTTGCTAGAAAAGGGCTGAGGGAAGATTAGAGATTGCAAGGTGTAGAAAAAGACTTCTGGGGGTGTTAATGTTACATTTCAGTGAGAAAGCATTTTTAAAAAAGCCTATCAGAAGAACAAACATTCTCTTTGAAGAAAAATCCTAGGTGTCAAAATAATTTTTTCAAATGACAAAATTCACAGAGAACCAGGCATGGTAAACGAGATACCATGAATGAGAAACAGCAGGACAGACTGTATAAACCAACCCCTGGGCTCCACATCCTGGGATTATCATAGACAATGTTTATTGGCCAGGTGTGGGGGCTCACACCTGGAATCTCAGCACTCTGGAGGCTGAGGCAGGAGAATCATCATGAGTTTGAGGTCAGTCTGAACTACATAGTGAGATCTTTTTTTTTTTTTTTTTTTTTTTGCAGTACAGGGGGATCAAACTCAGGACCTTGTGCTTCCAAGGCAGGCATGGTGCTACTGAGCTAAATCCCCAGCCCTTGTTTTTGTTTTTGAGACAGGGACTCACTATGTAGTTCCGACCGGCCTTAAACTCAGTATGTAACCTAGGCTGGCCTCAGACTCACAGTGATACTCCTGCCTCAGCCTCCAAGTGCTGGGATTACAAGTGTGCACCACCACGCCCAGCCCATAGTGAGATCTTGTCTAAAAAATAAACTGTGTTTACTGAGATTGACAGAACATCAACCTTCAAAGATCTCCACATCCTAATCCCCCAAAATCCATAAATATGTTGTTATAGGGCAAAGGAGAACGGCCACAAATACATATTGAATTGTGTCCCTCAAAAAGATCTGTTGAGGGGGCTGGGGATTTAGCTCAGTGGTTCTGGTGCCTGCCTTGCAAGTACAAGGTCCTGAGTTTGATCCCCAGCACCCCCCCCCAAAACCCCAATCTGTTGAAATTCTCACCCCTTGTACCTAACAGCATGACCATACTTGGACATAATTGTGAACTCAGACATAATTAAGATAGTGATATCAGAGTGGCCCCTAACGCAGTATGATGTGTGTTAGGGTTTAGATCTAAAGTGTCCCCCCAAAGTCCATGTATTTAAAGGTGACTGGATC